AATAAATATATAAAAACATTCACATACATTAGCTTTACATTTCATAACCAATTTTAAATTTTTCTGGCTTTGTTGCAAAAATTTTTTGTTTACATTTTCATCAAATGAAAAAACAATTGTTTTCATATGTCTGTTTACATATATGGACTATGCAACTGTCTTTAGTTTACCGAGATTTAATATCGTGGAACCAGGCTAAAATTAAATCATGTTTCACCAAAATGGAAACCGTTTCGCATTTGGACAAAACGCATCCGTGTAAGATCTGCATGGCAATGTCATAAAACATCTGAATTTTCAATCTATCCATTTGTTTTGTATTTTCTTTTGAGATGATTTGGATAGTGCTGTGCGGACATATTTCTGGATTAAAGACTTTACATAGCCTCTTAATAGCAGAAATGTGGTGTTTTATCGTTGGTCATTTGCTTATTAAATGTTTATATATCGTTTAATCAGGATATAATTAATTAATATTCAAGCATTTTGATAAACCATATAAAGCAACACTGGCTATATAAAAATAAGACACATGGTGTCGGATTCCAGGCACATTACGACATTGATGCTGTTACAGTATAAACGAGTACCTACCATTACGGACGTAATGTAATTTACGTGTCGTAACGCCTCCCCTTTAAACAGACATTCGTGGAGGTAGCATTTAATTCCGCTCTTCTAAGTACAGATGACCGTTCCTTTGCAGCCTTTTCATACGCGTGAGTAAAACCTCGCTGGTATTCGTATATTATACACATCTTTCCCAGGTCCATCCGTTGGGCTCAAAAGGGAGCATGAGGAGAGTAATGGTTTTGTTGTCAAGAGATCGCAGTTTCGATTCTCGGGCGAGGCGAATTTCTCCATGATTACTGATATCGGACTGTTATTTGTCTTTCACTCTGGCTATTTTTTACCATCCTCCTTTTCAATCATCTCAAAAAATTAGCAGACGACACGCCCTTCGTGATTTTCTTCTAATGCTTCCGGATAGCATGGCATGTATAATCACTGATACTGATTTAAGTTTGGGGTATTTTGTTTAAAATTAATCTGTGATCGGTGTGAGTACCGGGTTAATCATTTATTGGATACATGCTTGCCATTTTGTTTTTAAATATTATTTTAAATTTTCATTTTCTTCATGTTGAATCGTTTAAATAAGGATTTTAGAGCATGGTAGTTCTTATTCACCCTATAAAAAGAAGCGCTGAATGTGAAATTATTTGTCATAATGGTAGAAGAGTAAAATACATGTACAAACAAAGTAGTATACAAAATACAAACTTACTGCAAAATGCAAACGAAACAGAGTGGTTCAGGAAATTAGCCAGCGAATAACCTTCTGTAAAATGTTATGCACACCAAAAATAATAGGCTTTTGAAAAATAAAAATAAAAGCATACTGGGGCATAATAGGCCGATCACGGAATAAACATATTGTTCTTAAAGGTCAATTGCTATTATTTCATTTATCAAAAATGATTTTAATAATTTTACTGTCCTGTTACTATATCCGAAAAAGGACCCATTGAGCCTACACATACACAATTTATTGCTTCGTCTGCTATTTGGAAAAGTTGGCACTGTTATAGTGATTTGGTATTTTGTATAGAATTCAAAATACCAGTTGTTTGCACTTTGCAACCTTTAAGCAAAGACAGCCCCTTTTTAATGGTGAGAAGCTTCTTATATGATTTAAATCTAGTATTAAAACAGTTTTAAACTACTCAACAAGAAAACACATACATGTACTAGTATTCATTTCTGAGGCATAATGTGCTTTTAGCTTTTGTGTTGTGAAATTCGTTCTAGTTATTGGCGGGAACGAAATGAATAAAAATGACGGAAAATAAAACAGTCTGAAGAAATGTGCACATGTATATAGAAGTCATTCCTTATATATCACCATCGCAGTTTCGTTATTTCGACTTTTCACCATCGTACTTTCGACATTTCACCATCGAACCTTCGTCTTTTCACCATCATGGCTTCATTATTTCCGCTTTTAAGCATCGTATTTTCGTGTTTTATTTCGTTGTTTCGAATTATATGCAGATGTGTGTCACGCATTTGTTTTTGATATCTTACAATTTTCTTTGTGGATCTACTGTTGTTGTTGTTGTTGTTGTTTCTTCTTCTTCTTTCCTTTCCTTATCATAATGACACTGATACATATATTTACATTTGACATTATATTCCCCATTCCTTATCTTGTTAAGAGAGGATTTATGTAGATAGATAAACTATTAACTTAAATGTTCGGAAGCAATATGGCCGATGATTTTATTCGTTTGTTTTTCGTTTTAATGTTCGCGTCGTTATGCTGTGCTTCAAAGGTAGATCGTGACAGCCAGTTGTATGCAAGACTTGGCAAGCTGGAGGAAATAGTTGCACGACAATATGCTCTCAACAACCATCAAGCTGAGGTCATCAGAAAACTAGAGCTAAAAACTATACAGCAAGAAGAGACAATTCAAATACAAGGAGAGACTATCAGAAGACTAGAAGAAACTATCCATGGGCAAGGAGATACCATTAAACTACTAGTAAAAACTACCAATAGACAAGATGAAACCATTCAACGACAAGGACAAACCATCAAGAGACAAGAAGAAGCCATTAAAAGACAAGGGGAAGCAATCAAAAGGCAAGGTGAAAGCATAAGGAAACAAGAAGAAAGAGGTCAACAGCAAGATGAACGAATAAGACTTCACCAACATTCTTTAGAAACGCTAAAGAGGTGTGTGGCATGTTATTTTCTTATCAGTCGGTGCTAGGAAGGGGCTAAAAGAGACGCTGCACATTTATTCAATTATTTCTCATACAGACCCAATCAAATTCAGTCTGCAAGTTTCTCCTCTTTTCTCTCTGAGTATTTTCACATTCATCCAGAATTTTATTTATTTATATATATTCAAATCATTTCAAAATCGATAACCTGATTAATCAAAAATCTCAGTTCTCTCTCTCTCTCTCTCTCTCTCTCTCTCTCTCTCTCTCTCTCTCTCTCTCTCTCTCTCAAAAAGGAAGTTTACTGTATTGTAAGTCCGTTATGACGGTTCCTAAAATGTTATATGGACTTGTGGCTCGGGTCATATCAGCAAATAACCGTTTATATAGGATCATATTACATGTCAGAAATCTTAACAGATAATAACATACATAATCGTCACACAATGACGTTGAATTATTAACAGTACTGTATCTTCTTAAAGATTTTTTTACCTAACACGTTTTAATATTATCTCAAATTAAAAAGCTGCAGAAAAAAAATCACGCGGATGTGCCTTCTTACGATTCTCCACAGAAGGGAAAACATGATCAGTAAAATGATTTTACACATTTTTTCTTCCTAAATTATGATATCATTTCTGAGTTGATAATAGATTACTGAAGGCCATAGTGTGCCGTTTGCGACTCCGTATAAATGGTAAGGCACGGTCGTGCATCATATTTTGACGTGATGTCTTTTCCGTTGTACAAACCCCTTAAATATTAGTGCTAAAAACAATATATAGGCCTGTCAATGAAAAAGTAAATGATTGTTTTAATTGAAAAAATAAAATCTTATATGTGACATGTAAATAAAAGGTCAAGACTCATACAGTATACCAGGCAAGACATGATTTTTGACTTTCTTCAAGACACTGATAAGGTTTAAAACTTGAACAAATTGTAGCGGCACCAAAAAGAATTCGTCGTGAGCTTCATTTTCCAGACAAAAGTTGGTTTCCACGATATTATAAAATCTGCAATTATGTGTAAGCATTATTGTTCATGGTCATGACAAATTAGTTTTATGTTTAAGCTCCGTACAAATTTACCACCTATTTAAAGACATAAACTGCATAAAATGTCCATGTTATACATGTTATATAGCTGCATTGAGATCTGTCGATATTTGTAACAATATTCTAAGTACAATCCGTGTGCAATTATTAATAAGTATTAATTTGTCTTTCCATATTGTCCTTTTTATAAAATACTAGTATAATGAAAGGTATTTTCTTTTACATGTTTTAATCATTATGGGCTACAATGATAATATTAGTCCCTTTGGCAATGACTATATTTCTTAATAAAAATAATCAAAACTTATTCGGACTATTCAATCAGTGGGTTTGAAGTAGATTAATTCAGTTCTAACGTACTAAGAGAGAGAGAGAGAGAGAGAGAGAGAGAGAGAGAGAGAGAGAGAGAGGGGGGGAGAGAGAGAGAGAGAGAGAGAGAGAGAGGGAGAGAGAGAGAGAGAGAGGGAGAGAGAGAGGGGGGGGGAGAGGGAGGGAGAGAGAGAGAGGAGAGAGAGAGAGAGAGAGAGAGAGAGAGAGAGAGAGAGAAAATGATATTTCTTCATGAATTGACGGCAGCCGTGTACATTATCAGTTATGAAGATTTTTTACAGGTTACATAGCCCTTTAGAAGCTGTTGTTTGTAAAAATAACCATCGCCTATTGGCTCGGGTTAAATTGCAAACAGGCGTTTATATACGGCCATATAACCCGCCAGGAATATTTATAACGAATTTGCATACCGCTAACTTTCTTTTTTAGAAAAAAAGTTATATTTTCTCATAAATTGAAAGTAGCCATGTATATTATTACATATGTAGTTATCAATATTTTCTCACGGGTTATAAGGTCCTATATAAACGGCTGTTTGGAAATATAACCCGAGACGATAGGCGATGGTTATATTGCCATGAACCATTTATATACGGCCGTGTAACCTGTCAGATATACTTATAACGAATTTATAATACAGCAAGCATCATCTTCTGAGATTTCTTCATAAATCGACAGCAGCCGTATATATAAAACTATATAACGTCACTATATTCCAATGAAAAGCGACGTTTCAAACGTGCAGTATTATAAAAACTATATAAACGTCACGATTATCCAATGAAAAACGACGTTACAAACGTGCAGTATTATAAGACGTCCTTGCATTGTGACGTTAACAATAATTATAACGTCATATGTTCAGAGCGGCATTAGCAACAGCTGAATCAAGCAAAATACAACCATTATCAGACAATGTTTCGGAATTATTACGCGGAATAGAGTATGGAAGATCCATATCAGTTGGTATAAACCAAACCTGCTGTATAGCATCCATTACAGTAAGTTATTTTTTTTATTCTACAGCACATAACCTTGTTTTGAGGGATTTTTATTGACACAAAAAATACTGTAATAGATTCTACTGTAGTAAAATATTTTAACTGCTTATTTATATTGAAATGTCAGATGCAAATTTTGTTAAAAGTGAAATTCTTCTTAATGGAAAAATATGTCGGTGGCTTTTAATAAAGATGAAGTGAGACTATGTCAGTTGCTTATTTCTATAGCGATCGTTAGTCGGCTGCTTATTTTAAAAGGTGACTTAAATGACAACTGCTGTTTCTGTTGAAATAATATCAGTTGCTTATTTCAATAGGGAAAAAATGTCAATGTAAATTCTCTTTTGTCATTCTAAGATGAATATTAAAAATTTTCCAGATTTCATTTATTTAAATATCGTTAAACTGAAGGTAATTATGTAGGCATAATAAACTAATAAGCTATATTTTATTTTTGATAGAACTTGCTCATACAAAAAAGCACATGTCAATATTATTCGCTACATTTACATCCTTTCTTTCTCAACATAATTTTTTTCTGTAACCATTCACTTTGCTTTAACTACACATGCTTTAAAAGGACTTCACTGAGGTTTTATGATATGACAGAATTGGAAATAAAGCTTTTTTAATGTTCCATTTGATGTAGTTCTAGACGAATAACTTGTGCGCAAAATTCCAGATCATTTGCTCATCCGTTTTACTAGAACTGTTTTTTTTTACAATTGTGAAAAATGACCAAAATATTGAAAAGCCTTACTCAATTTGGGCTAAGAATAGCCAAAAATATATATCATGGTTTTCAATTAATTTCTAAATGTTTTCTTAATTATCTTTTTGCATATCTTTCTGTTTTAAGTGTCCCAGACGATCTCTGTAAAACTTTTTTAGGGTTTTGGGGCCTCAGTGGAGTTCCTTTAATTAAAAGTTGATTGTACACAATCTGTCACTGATTTATTTAAATGTTTGATTTCTATTTCAGAACCAACAAATCCAGGGACACCACCAAAGATGAAGATAGTCACAAAGAAATTCAATCCAAGTTACTGTACTTGTGGGGAGCATGGGTATGAGCCACGTTATAGAATGGAAAGAGAAATTGTATGGTTAAATAATGAGCCAGAAAATAAAGAAGAAAGATTGCTAGTCGCAAGAAACGCTGGTAATGATAGCGTTGTGAATGATGATGATGCCGATGATGCAGAAGTAAAATATGATGCCGATGATGTAAATGATACCGATGATGCTACTGATGATGTCGATGATGTAAATGATGCCGATGATGTTAATGATGATGCCGATGATGCAGAAGTAAAATATGATGCCGATGATGTAAATGATACCGATGATGCTACTGATGATGCCGATGATGTAAATTATGCCGATGATGTTAATGATGATGCCGATGATCCAGAAGTAAAATATGATGCCGATGATGTAAATGATACCGATGATGCTACTGATGATGCCGATGATGTAAATGATACCGATGATATAAAAGATGCCGATGATATAAAAGATGTCGATGATATAAAAAATGCCGATGATATAAAAGATGTCGATGATATAAAAGATGCCGATGATATTAAAGATGCCGATGATGGAAATGATGCCGATGATGTGAAAGAAACCGATGGTGTAAAAGATGCCGATGATGTTACTGATGATGCCGATGACGTAAATGATGATATCGATGCTGATGAAGATGGTGCCGATGATGTAGTAGATGCTGATGATACTGATAATGTAAATGATGGCGTTTGCGTCGTAGATATTGAGAACACCGATGACGACCTCGCAGATTGTGGTGAGCCTGACCTCCTTATAGCAGATGTTGAAGTTACTTACGATGACGATGATTTTGGATCATCCTTTGGAATCATGAGTGTGTACTGCGACAGTGGTCTTCATACACCATGGTAAGTTAAAAGCATATATAATTATACATGCGAATTAAGAAACTATATAGAGCTGAAAAATCTCGAAACTTGTCTAAAGGCCTCAACAGACGGTAGGATTTAGTTGTACAGCACTAATTAGAGATAAGATGTACATTTTTCAAAGCAATACAACACTTGCATTCAGACGGTAATTCTACACTGTAAGAATCCTCTGAGGTTTCCCTAAAAAGGATCCCTTTATATTGATCCTTTACATACTTTACTCTCTAAATACTTTTGTCGCCATGAGTAATGATTGAAACACCTCCATTTAAAAAAAATTAATGTGAAGCCTGACCAAGATTCAACCCTGGGACCCTCGGAATACCGTACTGCGGCTCTACTGACTAAGCTATCCGGCCGCCTACAAACTACCTCCCCTCCCCTAATTAGAGAACAGTTCAATACTGTGACATAATCATTTTCGGAATAATTTGGGATTCGAACATAACACAATTTTGGGTCTCCTGAAGAGTTTTTCAACATCATTTTTACCCCATCTTACTACTACGTTTACCTTTTAGCCCTAATTGTTCTGGAATTTCATTCATTACACCCATTATCAGGAAATAATTTGGTTATCTGTTACTTGTCACTGTGGGAGGTCTGTAGAAATCTGTACGACAAGATTTTCAAAATAGAACATGTCCTATCCCTTACATCTAGACTTAAGGTTTCCGAATTCAAGAAATAGTAGCTTACACACATTAAGATTTGCCTGTACATCTTAGTTTTAATTGGTGTTGTACTTAAAAATCCTACCGTCTGTTGAGGCCTTATAAGCGAGTCATTCATTGAAATGAATGGGCCTTACATGTGTACGGTTAGTTCGTACAGATGAAGCAAAATTAATATGTTAATTGTTGAATTGAATGATTATAATTTAAATAACTACCACGTCTCTGCTATTATTAGACAAATACTGGTTATTTCCTGGAACCAAACTCGAGTGTTTTAAATAAACTTGAAGCTTTCTCCAACAGTCGAACTTAATATTTTAACTTATTTTAATACAATTGATATAATTGCGCAGAAACAATTGAACAATATCTAAGAAATTGTGCTTCATTTATTCATCATTCATATTATTCAATGCAAATGTATTATAATTCATATATATTCTTACCCTCTCTTCTTTATTTTTTTCAGGGCCGGGAAGAACGGGATTCATGATTACTAAACAGCGCCAGACATTTCTTTTTAAAAGCTTATATGATTATAATAAATTTACATTATGTAAAATAAATCTTTGGTTTAAATCATACCATGTTTTGGTTCTGGTATTTTATCCTGAATGTCTGCATGACATGTAATAAATGTACTAGTGTATGTGTAACTGTGTAAATAAGTACATGAAGTAAACATTTTTTTTTTTTGGTCATTTATAAATCATACATTTTACATTTAGCGAAATGCATATGTACAAAAGTAATATACGGGCAAAACTTAAGATGAGCTTATCTTTTTGTTTTATTATCAAGTAAAGATATAGCTCTGCCTGACGCAACCTTCTTGGAATTTCGTATTCAGTGGAAAGAGAAATATGCACCCAGTCCATGAATAATATAATATCTGTAGCCCAGTATCAATCCGATTTTAAGAGAATGCCAATATTTTTGTAACACTGTTGTGAGGTAATCGCTGGTGACGCATCAAGCAGCTTTAGGATAACTTATTTCAATCTTATAAATATACAACTATGTATGTGTGTATGGGGACTTCACACTGCGCTACGGTACAAGAGCTGTGGTCTGACAAGTATTTAAGGTTTGCTGGGTTGCTTTTATCACCTTTCTAAAATAGGATGATGGAGGAGGGGCTTTGACCAGTCGGAAGGGAATGTGCCTGTATTTAATTAAATTAAATGGTGGAGAAAATAAGTGACCAAGGAGACATTGCACAAGTGTTATCAAAAAGCCATGTACATGATGTAGTTTTACCGATGAGAGCGTTTATCTCATTTGTAGTCCGCCTCAAGGTTAATATATAACATTTTTCTGAGTTCCGTCTCAAATCTCAAGATTTTCACTGGCCTCATTATACATTTTGTGGCCGTTTTTGATCAACAAAATATCCTGAGTTTGAGCTTAAAGAATATTTTATAACCTCGGACCCAGGTGCTTGCATACGTTTACAAAATTGATAAATTTTGCAGAACATCATAACTTACTTTGACCAAAAATGTGGTTTTCAAAGTGGGGATTAAAATATCGAAAACAGTGAAAAGTATATTGTAAATTTTATTCTGTAGACCATAATGGTGATCACCTGATTTCAATGCATTTACACAAAATGAATGTATGGAAACAAAATGAGGGAGGATTCATGTACAATTTACAACATGAAAATAAATCACATTTAAAAATAAACTAGGACTTAAAATATAAGATATTTACAGTCCAAGAAATAACTTTACAGAGTGATATTGTATACAACACAGTATTCAGACAATCATCACTGTATAAGTATGATAAAATGCTAGTAAGTCAATGTTATAAACATGCAGTAATAAATTTATAATTTGAATACTGTTTTTTTTCTTCTGTGTAGAAACTAATTTCTTAATGCATGCCTTCATAAAACTAGGGCATGTACTTGTATACATGTATAGCAGAGTTATGCATGTTTAAACTATTAAAGCTTGAAGCTTGTTGGTGGTAACTGAATATATCATTGCAACCAGTGCAGACAAGATAAACTGGGACAAACATGTTGTCTGTTGCTATTCAGTCAGTACATGTTTTTTTTTTCTTCAATTTTTCCCTCAAAAATGATTAACAGTTTGGTCCAGACTCAAAGATGGAAAAGTCTACATATTAATATTAAGCGTTGTACCATAAGGGTTAAATTAGGAGACAAGATTAAAATTCATTATCCAGCATTTTGTCCCTCAAATCTTCTGAATTAGTATAATAAAGTTCTTCTCGTTTGCATCATTTGAAGTTGTTATTACATATATAATGATATCAAATTTGAGCAGCCAACAATATAGAGCCTGGCTGACCGCAAGGCTCTGTAGAGGACTACGCAGTATACTGGTAGCATAAAAAATTCATCATAATCACTGAAAGTCTAAGATATTTTAATAACTAGTAGGAAGAGATTTATACAGAGAAACCTGCAAAATATGCAAGCAAACTGCAGTATTTCGATTTCAAACATAATCAAATAAATTTGCCATGATGTAATTCTAAAATAACAAACAAAATAAAATAAAACACAATTCAAACCTTGTTTACTTAGTTTGAATCCAGATATTTAGAATTTTGTACATGCATGTTATTTCAAAGTTGGTAGACTAAATGACTGTCACAACCATTGGAAATGTTAACCCATGCACTGTAAATTTTCTTGACAATTCTTACACCTTACTCAAACTTGTTGAGATTTAAAAATAAACCAAGACCACACTTCTTAAAGCAACACATCGATAGATTTGTGGCAATTTTCTTGAAAAAATAAAATTGTTTTATTGAATTAAAATTCTAAGTATACAAATTTAGCTGTTTTAATCTAGCAAACATACTTTGCAAAGACTTTTCCTATTACCTATTACTCTGTTAATAACACTAACAGGGTAGGATTTTAGGAATAAAAATAGCATATCATCACCTTAAAGCAGTTATGGGTTAAATCCTTGTAAATTTAATAGGAGTTAACCAGTTATTTCTTGCACTAAGGTGATGATATCCAATATTATTTTGCTTTCAATACTCTAACAGTTTTACCTTCATTGCGAATATTTAAAAACTTATTTAAATTACTATAACAATATTTTTCTCAAGTTGTTTTTCAGAATATTTGCTTCATGTGGAGGCATGCCACTTTAATACCCATCTCATTGGTGCCATCTTAATCACCTGAGAAATGTTTGTTTTTCATAACAATCATGTTTGTCATAAATTTTTTCTATTTTATAGTTTATTCCCGTCTTTTCTTTCTCTCATAGTCACGACTTGACCGTGAGTCATCAATGCCACGTTTTTGTCCGGTTTTGGCATCTTTCAAGAACTTATCCAGACCGAAAGGATCTTCCTCTTCGTGTCTTTCAAACTGAACCGGTCCATCTCTACGTCGACTTGAGTCAGTTCCGGTGAATCCTTTGTCCGGAACAAACCTGAAATAAAAGAGTAAAAATCAAATGAAAACTACTCAATAAGCACAGGTTTAAAGTGGCCTGCAGCTTTTATTTTCTGTTTGAAAAACACTTCTGTGTTGTTTCAAACTATAATTAGTATTTCAGCAATTTTATCTTGGTTAAGTGCATCATATCATTGTCTTCTTCAAAACAGCATCCTAAGAGCTATTTGTAACGCATCAGTGTTGTTCGTTGCATCAGTGTTGTTCGTTTCTAAAAATAGAAGATTGTGCAAAGAATCTTCCACTTTACTAATTATAAAAAGAGCTGACCGGTAGATTAAAGGTATCAAGGGGTTTTCTTATTGTTTATGCATTTTATTGTCGGCATAATTCATGTTCCACCTTATTTCTTTTAATTTGCATTTTTTTTTCATTCACACATGATTTTTCAAACTCAATAATGTCACTACAATTGATTAGATTTATGAAGCATTTTTTTTTTTGTATAATCTCATTACCTGAATTTTACAAAAGCAACAACTGACATCAATGGAAGACTGGCTTTCAATTTCAATTTGCCTTCAAAGAAACCATCATAGGCAAACATGCTAAGCCAAGAATTCAAAAACATTTACCTTAAAGCGACAGACCTTTATGCTCTACCTGTTGTGCGGTTCAGGTTATAAAAAAGAAGGAGGCAGTGTATTCTATGAAGATTCAACACAAAAAGTTCATATGTAAACATATTGCCAAATTATACACTGAAAGGACCATATCTGTAATACAAGGGGTGCAAACAAATGCATCTAACCTGTTTGTTTTAATGAGCTCATCCAGATCATCACCATATGTGTCCCTATCTTTGTTTCTAGATGGTCTGTATATATGACTAGCAGCATCTCTGTCTGCCCTCCAGGCTTTGTCATATACATTATATCCTTCATCATCACCAAAACCACTGTCCATACCCTGAAAACAAAGAATATATCATACAACCACTAGCAATAACCTATTACAAACAAATATGTCATAAAACCAATGTCCATACCCTAAAAACAAAGAATATACAACCAATGTCCATACCCTAAAAACAAAGAATATATCATACAACCACTATCAATAACCTATAACAAACAAATATGTCATAAAACCAATGTCCATACCCTAAAAACAAAGAATATATCATACAACCAATGTCCATACCCTAAAAACAAAGAATATATCATACAACCACTGTCCATACCCTAAAAACAAAGAATATATCATACAACCACTGTCCATACCCTAAAAAACAAAGAATATATCATACAACCACTGTCCATACCCTAAAAACAAAGAATATATCATACAACCACTGTCCATACCCTAAAACAAAGAATATATCATACAACCACTGTCCATACCCTAAAAACAAAGAATATATCATACAACCACTGTCCATACCCTGAAAACAAAGAATATATCATACAACCACTATCAATAACCTATAACAAACAAATATGTCATAAAACCAATGTCCATACCCTAAAAACAAAGAATATACCATACAACCAATGTCCATACCCTAAAAACAAAGAATATATCATACAACCACTATCAATAACCTATAACAAAGAATATATCATACAACCACTGTCCATACCCTAAAAACAAAGAATATATCATACAACCACTGTCCATACCCTAAAAACAAAGAATATATCATACAACCACTGTCCATACCCTAAAAACAAAGAATATATCGTACAACCACTGTCCATACCCTAAAAACAAAGAATATATCATACAACCACTGTCCATACCCTAAAAACAAAGAATATATCATACAACCACTGTCCATACCCTAAAAACAAAGAATATATCATACAACCACTTTCAATAACCTATAACAAAGAATATATCATACAACCAATGTCCATACCCTAAAAACAAAGAATATATCATAAAACCACTGACTTAAAAACTCTTAACTTTAATAAACTGTTAACTAACTTTTGTAAAAACTTTTTTTCTGCAAAAATATCTAAACAACAATTGAAATGTTTAACAATTTAAAGTGAAGATGCCATTTGTATAATTGTCAGAAATAACATTCTTTCAAGAACTGTATGTCATGATTTATATCAAATTTCTATCATACTTTTGATTGATTAAAAAGCCGGGAATCGAACTGGTCCTGTTGTCCACCACCAGTGTTAGGTAAACCTAGAGCAATCTTTTCACTGATATCTCTTTCTCTATCCTTCTGAAGACGAGATCTGAAATGGAAAATAAATGGATACATCTCCTAAACAAGCTTTGATTTTTTAGACAATACTATACTGTGGATGTTTTATGTTTTTGTATATTTTTACATTTTCACATACCAGAGAACAAGTAATTTGGTTGGGTTTTATGTTGCAAAAATACTGTGTAGGTCATATGGCAACATTCCAGTTTTACTGGTGGAGGAAGACCTCAGGTGCCCTTATGTGCAGGCATGAAAAGGCACCTAAGTAAAAACATCGACATTCAAGAGAGCTCACATGAAAGAAATCCAAAGTCCCTGTCGCAATTCCAAGCCACTGCGGTGAGAACCAAGTGGTTTGAAGTAAACAGCCTTAACCACTCGGCCACTTACGCCACTTTGTATGATTAACAAGAGCCACCACCGTGCGGGGGCAACGCTCGACTTTTTACTTTCTCTAAAAGCAAACAAAGAAATGTTTGAACAAAATCTTAACATTTCCTTTTTATAAAATTAATCAGTCTGTCTTGTCACATTAGTTTTGTCTATATATTTTGTAAATATATACTAATTTGTATATATATATAAACAGAGACACGCAATTCTATAAATAGAAAATTCTATAAATAGAAACACACAATTCTATAAATAGAAAATTCTATAAATAGATACACGTGGTGGAGTCACTTGGCGACACAAAGTAGTGTCACATGGTGGAGTCCCGTGGTGAAGTCCCGTGGTGGAGTCCGGTGGTGGAGTTCCGTGGTGGAGTCCCGTGGTGGAGTCCCATGGTGGAGTCCCGTGGTGAAGTCACATGGTGGAGTCACGTGGTGAAGTCACGTGGTGGAGTCACATGATGAAGCCACGTGGTGGAGTCACGTGGTGAAGTCACGTGGTAGAGTTAGTGAAGTCAGGTGGTGGAGTCACCTAGTAGAGTCACAGGGTAGAGTCACGTGGTGAAGTCACGTGGTGAAGTCACATGGTGGTGTGACGTGGTGTGACGTGGTGAAGTCACGATAAACAACAAGGTCTTGTCCTTAAGTATATTCTGTTATAATATGAAGTTGATCCCTTCAATAATAGCAAAGTTACAGCCAGTTACAGCCAAAACAATGAAAATTTCAATAATTTGAACTTCAAAGTCAAGGTCATTAATAAATGAAGGTCAAGATCTGTCGGGTTATTTTTAAGGGCTATCCTTGAAGATTATTATGTTCAAGTTTGAAGACAATCCATTCACAAATAACAAAGTTACAGCCAATAATAGCCAAAAACATGAAAATTTCAATAATTTGACCTTCAAAGTCAAGGTCATTTATGAGTGAAGGTCAAGGTCTGTTGGGTTATTTTTAAGGGATATCCTTGAAGATTATTATGTTCAAAGTTTGAAGACAATCCATTCAAAAATAACAAAGTTACAGCCAATAACAGCATGAACAAGCAAAATTTTGACTTTTAACCTTGAAGCTCAAGGTCATTTATGGATGAAGGTCAAGGTTAGTGTGGTCTACTGAAAGGTCTTGTTACAAGGGTTGTTGTGGCCAAGTATGAAGACAATACACCAAGAAACAAGATTGCATTTGTAAAAAATGCCATGCCACCGCATAAATACAACACATTTTTTTTTGTTTCTATACAGATTGCCATAATGCATAGATCACTTACCTATCTGTTATTATCAGATTAGTACCTTCAGAAAAGATTTTTAATTTTTTACTTACTTTACTTTAGACATAGTGACTGAAAATCAATGATCCCCAGAGGCGGGGCCAATTTTGACCCCAGGCCCCATATTCACAAAGATTTAAGGATCAGGATCAAGATCAGGATCAAGTTTAAAAACTCCAATATTCTTCATTGTTTATCCTTATAGATTAAATGTCTTATATTAATTTGATAAAAATTGACTTGCAATAGCAAGTTTATGAACTTAAAGAATAAATTTATTGCTATTTTTGCAAGATATGGGCTTTTTATAGATGATCCAAATATTGATCCTGATCCTAAAATTGATCCTTATTTTAATCCGAATATTTTTGCATTTGTTTTGTTATTTGTTGATTTTATCCCAAAATAGTTTTGTTTCTTTGCAAATCAGCAATTTTTTACATTTTGAATATTTACCATTTAATTCCAGCAAAACACGATTAATTTTAAGTAACATAAAAAAGTGAAAATAAAATCAGGATCACTTGATCCTGATCCTGATATTTTCTTAGAGAACACAGGGCCTGGGCTTTAATTTGAATAATCTTGCTAGAGGTTCACTACACAATGTTAATAATGCAAAACGTCTAACCTCTAGCCTTTGTCAATTAGAGAAGATTTTTTAAAGTTTTTACTATATACATGTAAGGAAAACCTATGACCCCGGGGCGGGGCTAGTTTTGACACTAGAGGCAACAACTTTGGTAGAGTACCTATAGATGATATTATATAACAAATATCAAAGTTCTAAGCCTTGTACCTTCAGACAAGAGGTTTTTTTGATTTTTTACTATATGTACATAGTGAAAACCAATGACCCCCGGGGCGGGGCCAATTTTGACCCCAGGGCTATAATTTGTACAATCTTGCTAAAGGTTCACTACACAATGTTTCATGCAAAATATCTAACCTCTAGCCTTGGTGAATTTAGAGAAGATGATTTTTTAAGTTTTTACATATACATATAAGGAAAACCTATGACCCCCAGGGTGGGGCTGATTTTGACACTAGAGGCAAAATTTGAACAACTTTGGTAGAGTACCTATAGATAATAACACATAACAAATATCAAACCTCTAAGCCTAGTACCTTGACACAAGAAGGTATTTTAAGTTTTTACTATATGTACATATAGTGAAAATCAATGACCCCTGGGGCGGGGCCGATTTTGACCCCAGGGCTATAATTTGAACAATCTTGGTAGAGGTCTACCAGACAATGCCTTATGCAAAATATCTAAGCTCTAGGCCTTTTGAGTCTTTACAAGAAGATTTTTTAAATTTATTCTTATAATTCCTTTTGGTTGCCATGGCAACCAGATTTCTGCATGGAATGAAATTCTTTGAACAACTTTAGAAGCCCTTCACCCAAGGATCAATCCTGCCAAGTTTGGTTGAAATTGGACTAGTGGTTTTTCACAAGAAGATTTTTTAAGTTCACTATATAATCTATATAACACACACACAAACAAACACACAGGTGAATCGCTATATGCCACCGCATCGCAGATGCTGCGGTGGCATAATAAAAAAGTTATGATCCAGGTACAAGTTTGCGGACGGCTACGGCACACCGCTGCGACTATAGCAATACCTCTACTTTTTTTTTCAAAAAAAAAAAAAGTCGAGCTAAAAATTACCAAAGGTAACAAGAAGAAAACAGAACCCAAATGCCTTTGCAGCATAATGATTTTTTCTTTCATTAAGTTATATGTTAATTTCTAGCCTAATTGCAATAACTGGACCAGTGCAGACCAAAATCATCCACCAGATCATGGTAATAAATTTGTCCTGATTTTGAAAGATGGACAACTCAAATTAAGACATGTAGCATGAAAAGGAATAATTTCTCATCTCAGGTACATGTATTATCATTATTTTCAAAATTTTACAAAAGTGACTTACATTCTAAATTTATTTTCATTTCTTTGAAAAAATGCTGCAAGGTGGACAATATTTGAGGTAAACTAGAAATGTGTCCATAGGACACGGATGCCCCCACACGCCACTGTTCTGTCAATCTTATGACTCTAGGTCAAATATTTTTTGGACTACATGTGCCACAAGTTGAAAACTAAAAATCAACAAAGAGCCATAATTCTGTTAAATTTGGTCGCAGCAAAAATTCCTTCCTTAACTACCATCTACACATTAAGGTTGTTAATCCCTGGAAGTTTAAGCAAAATCTGCCATCCGGTTTAAGAGGAGTTGCGTTCACAAAATTTCTACATAGTATATAGTGAAAAAATCAACAAAGGGCCATAAATCTGTTAAATTTGGTCGCAGCAAAAATTCCTTCCTTTACTTCCATCTACACATTAAGGTTGTTCATCCCTGGAAGTTTAAGCAAAATCTGCCGTCTGGTTTAAGAGGAGTTGCGTTCACAAAATTTCTACATAGTATATAGTGAAAAAATCAACAAAGGGCCATAATTCTGTTAAATTTGGTCGCAGCGAAAATTCCTTCCTTTACTATCATCTACACATTAAGGTTGTTCATCCCTGTAAGTTTAAGCAAAATCTGCCATCCGGTTTAAGAGAAGTTGCGTTCACAAGATTTCGGGACGGATGGACGGACAGACGGACAAGTGCAACGCTATATGCTCCCACATTGTGGGGGCATAACAAAGCTATGATTGTTATTCTTAGGCTTTGAACAGGACAAATGACTTTTAAATAGTAATAATAACAGGATAGAACAGACTTTCAGCTAAAATAGAAATTTAGACAATATTTCCTTGAAAAAAAAAATTTGTCCAACAATTCTCACCAATAATAGCAATTCATTAGAGAAGAATTATTTACTAGAATATCAATAAACTTGTACCTTTTATCTGGTGCAGCTCTAGCTAGATTTCTCTCCCTTTGTCTTTCTTTATGTCTCTCTCTTCTGATATCTTCTCTATCAGCTAATTCATCATCTTTTTCTAAAATATACAGTAAACTCTCAAACATATTTCCAAAGACTTATAATACAGAGGTATTACAAGCTCTAAAATTAGAATATTTTTTATCCATATTCATCTAAAAAGGGATATGACAAAAAATAATACCATTAGCTCTGTGTATTCCTGCACGTTCTTCACGTGCCTTCATAGCTAACTGTCTCAAATTTTCTTCCTTCTTTTCCTTCTCTTTCTGAACCATTTTCTGTTCTGTCTGAGCACGGGTTTCTACAGCTTCACGTGCCTTGAATATGCAAAATTATTCTACACACACACAAGATATCAAATAATGTTCTAGACAGAAAAAACTTGTAATGTAAAAATACTAAAGGTAAGAAATGACGTGTAAAACCTATGCAGAGTCAGTCTTAGTAACATTTTAAGAAAATCTTAAATCTAAACAAATGTTTTTTTAAACAGTCTCTTGATGATGCACAATACTGTAAATTTTTATATTATAATATAATTATATATTAATGATATATGTATATTTTAATTTTACTTCCTTCTTAAAATAATGGAATTCAAAATTGGCATTGCATTTCTAAACAGTTTAATTACATTCTTGAATGAAAGAAGACACATTGTCATCTGTACTTGACTTTACTCTTCTTCCATCCCCCACCCCTTCCCACCAAAAAAAGACTAAAATGACAATCAATTTATACTTAATGACTTTTGGTTACAATTCAAAACTATTCAAAATTAATAACAAAGAACAAATCATACTTTTCTGTCAGCAATATACAGAGATTCTGCAAGCTTTGCAAAGTTTTCATTGATATGAACACCCTGGAGACCACGACCATCTGCAGCCAGACGCTTATCAAGAGGTATAGTATACCCTTTAACGTTCTTCCAGTTAGATATACATGGTGGTATCTTCCATTCCTGTTGCTCTTTAACTGTCACCTATAACATATACAAATACTAATTACAAGAGGTACAAATGTTATTTTATATACACAAACTCTGCAAATGATATCTGCAGTGTATAAAGGCTAAAAATAGCTCATGTTATATACAACAACATCTCATGGAAACTGAATAGCTTCGAAACTGAAATGTTAAAAATTATAAGATTTTTTGTTTTTGTTGTGTTTATCTTTGCACTAACATAGTATAGGTCATATTGCGACTTTCCAGCTTTAGTGGTGGAGGAAGACCTCAGGGGTCCATCTGAGCATTCTTTCAGACACAAACGGCACCTGAGTAGAACCACCAACATTCCTTTTATAAGATCATGACAAGAAAACCATAAATCTCCAAAATAAGGATATATCAATAGCCGACAATTTTTGCATTTGAGGTCATAGATAAGTTATGTCCCAATACAAAGTATAGATAAGTTTACAAACAAAGTTTAAACAGCATTCATTTACATACACACTTGCAAACAGAGAGCATCTCTTATGTTTTTTACTTAAAAAATGTCAAGCATATGAAAGAATTAAAAAATTCTTTTTAGCCAACAAAACATACCTTTCTATTAGGGGAGTGCATTACAGGGGCTGGTGGGGAAGGTGGACCTCGAGGTATCTTCTTATTGACTCTGTAATAAAAAAATTAATTTGCCATTTAATCTAAAGCATTATAACATCACAACTCAAAGCAAAGACATATATCAAAACAAGATCTATATTTTTTTTGATAATCTTTCATAATGAAACACTACATTTGAAACCAACTACATCATGTGATATTCTAAAACAAGAAATTTAGTATTCATATACAATTTTCATTAAATATTTGGGTGTGGATTAATAGTCAAGCAGTAATATTGAAATTCTGAATAGAAACACCAACATTCATTAAGAATTTAAGATATACAGGCTCTATACTGCTGACAAAGGCTTATCACTTTCAGGTGTAAGGATATAAATCTTCTACAATCTTACTTAAATTTGGGTGGCTCCATCGGATCTTTCTGAGCTTCGACCATTCGGATAATTCTCTGTTTAGCACCAGAGTTATATGCTACTCCTTGTTGAGAAGGTGTGTATCTGAAATATGTACATTATAAAACATAAATGAAAATGGCTGCTTTCTTTACAATTTTAAATATCAACATCAAACTTTTAGCATAAATATGTTTTGCATAGGTCTGCCCAGTAAATAAATGCAAATTAACACTTTGAGAGTAAGAGGCCATATATAATAGCCTGCCTATGTCTCATATGCAGAGACACACACATCTGTTCCCACTTAAGTGGGTTTTTTTAAATCCTTACAAATAACAATAGTTACAAATTAAAAGCCAGAACAGTCCATTACATAATTTCAGCATGATATCCTGTGCCATCTGATCATGGTTTGCATTATTTCTACTCAGTATTAATCTAAAAATTTCCCTAAAAATGATATACTGCTTTGTCTAGATTGAATAATGGAAAAGTCAATTAATGATAATTAGCCTTGTAAGGGTTAAGTAACTAGGAAGTATGTCCCATTTTAGCAGCAAAACAATCAGGATCAAGATCAACTAATTTTGATTTTCATTTCTTATGAAATTTTTTCTTCTCTCTGTATTAGTCTAATATACATAGGTAACAAATAAATATTGTCAAGAAAACTGCTCTAAATGTGTCATCAGACTTAATGACAAAATTTAAGGTCAAAAATACAAATTGCAATTAAAACTTTGTGATATCAAAGATCATTTAATTTGTTTGGATCCGCTTAGAAATAAAATATCTTGGAAAGTTATTTTGTCCTTATCCTTTTGTGATCTAGGAACCAGGACACTTAACCACTGACCTAATATACTGTGCTGGTGCCTGTTTTTCTGCAGCTTTCACAGGCATGGCAGCTGCAATCTTTCCTGAGACCAGTTTTTCTAGAGCAAGCCGTGTCTTCTCTGTGTTGTCCTTAATGGAATCTTCATCCGGCTTTTCAAAACTTGGATCATCTTCGTCAATTTGTTTAGGTACAAGATCTTGGAATTTTGAGTGAACAACCTGAAAACAAATGCATGAGTAACTGATACAGGTATTTTGCAGTATATATGAATATAACCTAGCTTGATTAAAAACTAAAAATTAAGTTAATTGCATAATGAAGGAAAAAAATTCTTTCTTGGGTTTGCTTTTACACTGCACAAACACTGTATAGGTCATATGGTGACTGGACTGGTGTAGGAAGACCGCCGGTGCCCCTCCCTTCATTATGTCAGGCTTGAACAAGCAAGGAAAAAGTATATAGTCATTTACAAAATACTAGCCACAAGAACTGGTATGAGGTCGCTCACCTGTATATAGGCCCCCGGAGCGGGGCCAGTTTAAAACCAAGGGCTTTTATTTGAACAAACTTGGAAGACACCCATTAGAAGATGTTTCATGATGTTAAGTTTTTACTACACACATATAATGAAAAATAATGACCTCCCCCCCCCCCCCCCCCCCCTTGGCAGGGCCAATTTTAACCCAAGGGCTTTTATTTGAACAAACTTGGTAAACACCAACAAATCGATGTTTCCTGCTTAAAATCTAACCTCTAGCTCATTGGGTTTTTTAAAAGAAGTTTTTTAAGTTTTTACTATACACATATAGTTAAAAACAATGACACCTCTGGGGTGGGGCCAATTTTAACCCCAGGGCTTTTATTTGAACAAACTTTGTAGACACTTACTCGAAGATGTTTCATGCTTAATATCTAAACTTGGGCTATTTGGGTTTTTTCAAAGAAGATTTTTAAGTTTTTGCCATACACATAAAAGGAAAATCAATGACCCCCGGGGCGGGGCCAATTTTGACCCCAGGGCTATTATTTGAACAAACTTTGTAGACACTCACTAGAAGATGTTTCATGCTTAATATCTAAACTCTAACTATTTGGGTTTTTTACAAAGAAGATTTTTTATGTTTTTGCTATATACATATAAGGAAAATCAATGACCCCCGGGGCGGGGCCAATTTTGACCCTAGGGCTCTTGTTTGAACAAACGTTGTAAACATCCATTAGAACATGTTTCATGCTAAATATCTTAGCTCTAGCTCTTTGGATTCTTTAAAAGAAGATTTTTTAAGTTTTTACTATATGCATATAGGGAAAATCAATGACCCCCTGGGGCGGGGCCAATTTTGATCCCAGGGCTTTTATTCTAACAAACTTGGTAGACAATTATTAGAAGATGTTTCATGCTAAATATCTTAGCTCTAGCTCTATGGGTTCTTTAAAAGAAGATTTTTTAAGTTTTTACTATATGCATATAGGGAAAATCAATGACCCCCTGGGGCGGGGCCAATTTTGACCCCAGGGCTTTTATTTAAACAAACTTGGTAGACACTCACTAGAAGAAGTTTCATGCCAAATATCTAAGCTCTAGCTCTTTGGGTTTTTTAAAAGAAGATATTTAAAGTTTTTTCTTTCGGTTGCCATGGCAACCAGAGTTCTGCATGGAATTAAATTCTTTGAACAATTTTTAAAGGTGACCACCAAAGGAACATTCCTGTGAAGGTTGGATGAAATTGACTTAGTGGTTTATGAGGAGATGTTATTTAAAGTAAAAGTTTACGGACGGACGGACGACGTACGGACGCCGGACAAAAAGCGATCACAAAAGCTCACCCTGTCACTTTGTGACAGGTGAGCTAAAAAATTAAGACACATGTAATTCTTACATGACAATGATTTATGTAAACACAATAAAATAAGTAGTTTTAACAAAATCTGGTGCACACAATTTTATTGACTACCATAAACATGGCAACAGAACCAAGCAATGAACTTTGAAAACAATAGTTTTTCTTAAAGAAAATACAGTTTTTTTATTTTCTGGTGGTTACCTTGTCCTTCGCATGACCATGTTTAGCTATTGCATCATATTTGATTTTACCCTCAGCATCTAATTGCACAGCCAATGCATTTGATGAGCTTTTCTTCTGTCCCATACCAAGGGGATACTGGGCTATAGCTATTTCTGGAAACGCTCCACCATCTCCAAAATCCTGAAATAAAATTTACCTTTTCCATCATAATGGTACTTATAAACCTTTCAATTAATGTTAACCTAATTAGGGAAACATTTTAGGTGACCGTTGACCGTAGACAGCAGGTGACCGTTGAACAGATGTATAAAATAGAGTGATTTTCCTTGGTGGTGTCACAAAATTGCCATTTAGGCCAGGTGACTGCTGAAAAGAGGTGTTTGTTTGATATGGGTTTTACATCACACAGACACAGTATAGGTCATTTGGCGACATTCCAGCTTTACTGGTGGAGGAAGACCTCAGGTGCCCCTCCGTGCATTATTTCAGGCACAAACGGGCACCCGAGAAGAACCACGAACGTTCCATAAGCTAGCTGGATAGCTTCCTCACATGAAAGAATCCAAAGTCCTGTCAGGATTCGAACCCACAGCGGTGAGGGGCAAGTGGTTTGAAGTCAACGACCTTAACTACTTGGCCACGGACACCCCTGAAAAGAGGTGACACTAGGTACAGATTCAACTGTAATTTATCACTGTTTATGTAAATATCAACCACATTTTTCCAATTATACAAATATCTCATAATATTTTATTTGTAGTGTGAGATTAACAGAGACAAAACCACTTAGTAATTGAGTGAAACAACAGTTATTACATTTAGATTTATTTTAAAATCGAGTCTTATAAATCAGTATAGGACAACTATACAATAATTTATCACATTGCAAAGATCAATGCATTCCAAAATCCAGGATTTTTTTCCAAAATCTATAAGTTTATGTATTATAATGTATTCAAATATAATGCAGTCTGAGAAAACTCAGAAATATTGCTTACAATTATGAACTGCATTATAAAATATATTTAGTTCTAGAATAAAGTTAAGGAAAACATGATTTGTATAATCAAATATGGATATATGCGATTATGTCACAAAATAAGAGATAAGACTGGCATTAACATTTCGACCAATAAATTTATACAATTTTAGGTTATTACCTCTTGTGACCTGGGAATCCATCCTTTTCTATGTCCATAAGGAGGTGCTGTTCTGTTGCTGATAATTGGCGCCAGCTAATAATAAAAGACAAAGGGTTTCCCAGGTAATACAATTTTCATGATATTTATTGTTTTGAAATTTAATTCAAAATAAGAAATGAATTATCTTAACAAAAGCATTTGATTATTTTTCTAGGGTATGCCATGTTTTTAATTTCACAAAAGAAAACGGATAATCACGAACAAAATACTGTAACGAAATGAAAACCTGATTTATTGAAAGACCTTTAAATGATAATACAAACAGTAATCTTTATAATAATAAAAGCACATGATTTAAGAATTCTGAACATAATTTTATGAAATAATACACCTTTTACTACACACAGAGCAAACTTAAATTCCTTGTACTGAGTACCAAGAAGTTGAACAATCAATTATAACTTAACTTTGCAACTTTACTTAAGGTTATAATGTAAGTGAAGTTAAGTTATTATGTAAGAGAAGAAAATAATTTATTTTTCAAAGTTATTCTTGTGCATTAATTGTCATCAACTTATGACTAGATTACGGAAATACGAACAAATTAACAAACCTGCATCTGAGAACGAATCTGTCGTTCTTCATCGTCACGGTCATATATTCGCTGTGTAGGTGCCGGCAAAATACTGAAAAATTGAAACAAATAATAACCATAAGTTTTAATGTTAAAATTCTGTTGGGAAGTGATGTTTTTTTTGTTTTATTATGATATAACACTACAAATTTATTTCCATAACTTCTTCATTGTTAAATTGTATGATCACTTTAGAAATGTTAGAGTAAATTCAAGCCTTTTTTAAATTTTTCATCAAGGGACTGTGAGGGATACAGGGCAATAGTTAGTACATTCTAATTTGCTCCCCTTGTTTTTATACAATGTAGTGATGTTTGCTACTTTCCAGTCTTCAGGCAAAGTGCCTTCCTCAAAATTAATGTTTTGTTAAAAATGGTTTGAAATGGTGTTTCCAACTCATTTGCACACTCTTTCAAGACTCTGGGATAGCACATGTTAGGTCCCATAGATTTTGATGTATTAAGAGAGCTTAGTCTTTTAAATACTTCTTCCGTAGACACAAAGAGTTTGGTTGGGGCAGCACGAAATACCCAAATGTAACACCCAAATAATGCTCAAATATACCCAAATGTTGCTCAACTATACTAAAAATAAATGTTTCATACTAAAAAAGTGCTGTTTTAAATAGGGATTAAACGATGGTCGAGTATAATCAAAAATTGATCGTATGAGATGTTGTAAAAGTAAAAGTTTACGGACCGACGACAGACGAAAAGCAATCACAAAAGCTCACCATGTCACTTTGTGACAGGTGAGCTAAAAATTAAAACTATTTTATAATTTAGAACAATTTAATCTTACAAAACGTTTGTAAGGCTTGAGTAAGAAACTGCACAAATGTGTATTAAAATCAAATTAAAGAGCAACTTAATACATCAAGGAAGTATTACTGCAATAAAACTTTGAAAACACAATCTACACTGTACCAGGCAGAAACTTAATACATCAAGGAAATATTACTGAATTAATCATAATTCATATCATAATCTGAGCAATAACACTGAAGTTTCCAACTTTTGGTCAGTAGTTATAAAGATTAACTTTACTTATGAAAAGACCAGGCAGAAACATAAGTATTCTCTTTTCATTACATTTATTAAAACAAAATGGTAGCAAGAGGGCCATGATGGCCCTAAAATCGCTTTTCTGTATATAGGCCCCCGGGCAGGGCCACTTTTAACCCAGGGGCTAGATTTAAATAAACTTGGTAGAAACCCACTTGAAGATGTTTCAGGATAAATATCTAAGCTTTTGCTGTAAAAAGATTTTTTAAGTTTTTACTATACACATATACGGGAAAAGCATTGACCCCCCCCCCCCCCGCCCCCCTCTTGGCAGGCTAATTTTGACCCTAGGGCTTTTATTTGAACAAACTTGGTAGACACCCACTAGAAGATATTTCATGCTTAATATCTAAGCTCTAGCTATTTGGGTTTTTTAAAAGAAGATTTTTTAAGTTTTACTATATACATATAAGGAAAATCAATGACTTCGGGGGCTGGGCCAATTTTGACTCCAGGGCATTTATTTGAACAAACTTGGTAGACACCCACTAGAAGATGTTTCATGCTTAATATCTAAGCTCTAGCTATTTGGGCTTTTTAAAAGAAGATTTTTTAAGTTTTTACTATACACATATAGGGAAAAGCATTGACCCCCCTGCCCCCCTCTGGGCAGGCCAATTTTGACCCTAGGGCTTTTATTTGAACAAACTTGGTAGACACCCACTAGAAGATATTTCATGCTTAATATCTAAGCTCTAGTTATATGGGAATTTTAAAAGAAGATTTTTTACTATCTATATCTACATTATACTGCTTAACAATCAATTCTGATTATGACTAGCAGGCATATATACATATAAGGAAAATCAATGACCCCCGGGGCAGGGCCAATTTTGACCCCAGGGTATTTATTTGATCAAACTTGATAGACACAGTGTCACACTGACTAGATGATGTTTCAAGCCAAATATTTCAGCTCTAGCTCTGTCGGTTTTCTTAAAGAAGATATTTTAAGTTTTTTCTTTTGGTTGCCATGGCAACCAGAGTTCTGCTTAGAATTGAATTCTTTGAACAATTTTTAAGGTTGACTTCCAAAGGAACATTCCTGTGAAGAATGGATGAAATTGGCTTAGCGTTTATGAGAAAATGTTGTTTAAAGTAAAAGTTTACGGACAAAAGGGACGTCAGACGGAAAGCGATCACAAAAGCTCACCATGTCACTTTGAGACAGGTGAGCTAAAAAAGAAATTGCGATGTCTTTCAATGAAGGACTACAGATGCCCTGTGCTGTCTTAATGACAAGCACTTTGAGGGGGAAGCGAGAGTATTCTTGCTCTTTTATTATCATAAGTAAATATTTGTCTGGGCTCTATGGGGCCTATGCGGGATATAGTAAAATTAAACGAAAAGTGTTAGCATTGTAAAAACGTTACACATTCACTGGCATGACATGTTCCACAGGATTTTTTGTACTTTTACTTTACTTTATCCAGCATAGGGTCGCGAGATCAGAAATCTCTTGAAAACCCCTCAAGGTCTGACATCCAATAATTATTTTCCGGTATGACAGTATATATAATTTGTTTCTCATAACTTACCAAGGCCCCCACGGTTACACGTTTAAACGGATTCGTTTCGATTTTTATTCATAAACGTTTACAATATTTTTTACCGTTTAATCGAAATGACCATATTGTCTAACAAAATATCTTAATCATTGCCTGTAATCATGGATTTTATCAATTCTAATTGGTTTATTCCAAAGTAAAAATATGGAAAATGGGTGTTTACAACCCTCCACACAGCATTACCGTGCAATTATCACTTGTGACTTAATACATTTTTTGGTAAAGTTGATTTTCCTCTGATCTTTTAAAAGAGTAAAATGGGGATACAATGCAAAAAATGTGTGCCGACTCAGACATGATGAGCCCTGGTCATTATTTATTTGTACATCATAACATGTATTTGAAATACAAAGTACAGTGTAACTTCCGAATTCTGGAACTTCTGAAATCCGGAAACTTCTAAAAACCGAACAATTTTTTCGGTCCCGATTTTTTCCCTTCTATGTAATAGTTATAGAATATATACGAGGACTTTACCGGCTGGTATCAGCGCATGGGGCGACAACAAGGGTCAATCATAGGAAATTAATCGAGACGGAACGTCGAGATTAATTTCCATGATTGACCCTTTTGTCGCCCCATGCGCTGATACCAGCCGGTGAAGTCCGAGTATTTATTCTGTAACTGTTTTATCGCATGACCATCACGACTTTTTTCTTCTCTCGTAATATTTTCTTTATTTAAACATATAAATATTTTAAGAAATACCCACAGAAATACACCCACTAGATGCCGTTGAAGGAACTGGACATAAATAACAATTTCACGAGGTAATGTGATGCATTTTTTCTAAATGCGAAATAATAATTATCTTTCCAGCTCATTTTCAAAATATAATCTAGGAAATATTGTCGATAAGTATCCCGGTGTATATTTCAGAGGTATATCTTGTACGCGTATTTTTTAAAACTAACGACAATGTAGTGATTTTTACTTAAAGGCACATTATGCCTCAGAAATCCTTTTTTATTAAATTCTTTAGAAATGTAAAACACATGTTTAATCAGGTTTTAATAATGAATTTAGAACATGTAAGGTATTTAACAGCTGAAGAAAGTAGTGCTGAATGTGAAGGTAGCAAAATGTAAACAAATAGTATTTTGACTTCCATACAAAATACTAATTCATTATAATTATACCAATTGCCAGCAAAGCAAAAGATGCAAAGATAGTTCATTTATATGGCAAATAAGTATTTTTTGTGGAACTTGTAACAAGACACCAAATATTTAAAATTTTGAGAAATAAAAATGATAGCATTTCTGAAGCATAACGTGAGTCACGTACGACTAGCCAGGACACACTGTATTGGCTAGCCGTACGGCACTTTTCAAAAATATGTGGAAGGCGAAAGTACATATGTTAATTATAACTTTAAGCGAGGATTTTAGTCAAGAATGTTTACTTTTTAGAGATTAATCGACGTGTTGGCTTCAGTAAAGAATGTACGTACTTTAATTGTCATCTCAAGACGTCAAAAAAAAAAAAAAATTTTGTTGCAGTTAAATAACATCAATTGAAATAGTTTACAAAATTTGGATAATAATCCTTTTTTGTTTCATTAAGTTTAATTTTTAAATTGAAAAAAAAACAAAAAACAAAAAAAATAATTGTTGTTGGGCTCTGATAATTGTGTCAATTACCGACGGTATAGAAGTTTGTCCATCGTCCATCATTAAGGTGTCCATCGTCCATCATTAAGGAAAGTTTGCATTATTAAATTATTTTTTCCTTTTCACCGTTTTTTTAATATTCTTATTATTTATTTATTTATTCCCCTCCGATCATTATTCATTTGATCCATGTGCTTAATTAACAGATTTAACAATTCATCTTTCATACAAATCATAAGCATGAAAATTAAGGACGTTATAACATGCAACTTTGACACTTAATTTTATTAACATAGATTATACAACGCTTACTCGAATTCATTTTTTTTGTGCAAAATTGCGGAGCATCTTTATTAAAGTGAACACACTAGGACAAATGCGGAGATTTGATTAAAATCGTCGTTTAAAAGACACAAAATAACATATGCATTTTCGACTTCCATATAATTTTGAAAAGTGCCGTACGGCTAGCCAATACAGTGTGTCCAGGCTAGTCGTACGTGACTCACGTACGGCTAGAACTTTTGGCTAACCATACGGGCCCGTACGGCTAGCCACTTCCTTTCTACAAACTGATAGAAATCCAAAAGCATTTGCAGGTAAGATAAAAATGTATTCTTTTCATTCACATCTTTATCTTGATTAAAAGACTATTACATATGATATTACAGTAATGGCCACATCTTCCTTGGCATTTAGTGATACTAAGTGGCTTAGTCTTGTCCACATTATCATAAACCTCTTAATTCCGGAAACCTCTGAAATCCGAACTTTTTGACAAGTCTCATGGGTGTTCGGTTTTCGGAAGTTACACTGTAAGTCATCATCTGGCGACTCTAATTCATGGTGTAGTATAGTAGCCTGGAACCCCGTTGTATCGATCTATTTACCCATAAATCACAACTGCAGTTAAAAAATTTAAATTTCCCTGAATCTTTATTTTGTATCATTGATTTTGATTCTTTTGTCATAAATATTACATGGCAAACATCACTGATATATAGCTTTTAGCTTTGGAATATACAGTTATTTACAGACATGTCAAACAGGTTGAAGAATTAGGTCACGCTATTATATCGATGCATTGTGAGAATCGCTCAGTTAGTCAAAGTTTTGGAAGTCTGACCCATCTTTATGTTAGATTTTTCAGTCAATTAAAATCAAAGATGTCTGTTTTTAGGAACTTACAACAGACAGTAAATGTGTTTTTAATAAGAACAAACTATTTATAAGTCTATTTTTTGTCTACAAAGTCTGACGGTACTGGAAACATGTTTTTGACCATTTTTACGGCACAAAACGATTTCGAGACATTTCGGCCCCAAGACGTATCGGCCCCAAACTACCCAAGACGTTTCGGCCCTTTACCAAATCGGCCCCAGAATAATGTATTTTAAACCGATATATTAATAGCATTTCAATAAATAAATGAATCAATTGATATATATATTTAATCATTTTGTATAAAAACTAGATTATAATAGTAGTAGGGGAAAAGTAATCAATACAGACAGAACAGAACATAAACTTTATTTGAACAATAAAACAACTTTACTTGAAAACTTGTGTGAAGAGACGTTTTTATAAATATCATTTTTACAAAATAAAAGTGAAAAAAAACCACACAGGACGGTTAAAATATTTACACTAGATATATACAAAACGAAAACAATAACATTTTTAATGAACTAGAACAAATGATAGTCTTAGTAAAGACAATCTCATGGGGGAATATAATGTTTTCCAAACTATAGTAGTGTCTATAACTTTCCTTTTCAATACATTCATGAGCACATGACACAGTAACATACTTATATCCTTTTATACATGTATACCTTAGCAACTTCCGTGAGGAACTCCGAGGTAATCAACTCCCGAGTAATTTAATCACTTACGATACGCGTGTCAAACATCACACTTACAGATAAACAACAGGTCTTATATCAATCAATCAACTTTAAATTATTTAATACTTAAAATATACCTATGTTTATCTTTGTCCGTATCAATTACAAAATTTTCGAATGTTATAACTTATCTATAGCAGGTACATAGCGTTTATAATTTGGTTTCAGTTTTTCAATCAGTTTTATAACATCTAGCATCTATCATTATCTAATAACAATAATAATTAAAAATATTATCACGAGATTATAGCAAACCATTTTTTAAAAACCTTTTGAAGTTTTCTCTGATATTACTTACCGCCAATTAGCATAAAGCTATAAACAGTTAATTAGTTACAACTTGAAAAAAATACGTATAGTTTAATAAAGATCAAAAGATAATGTTTTCTAAGGAATAATTGTAGTTAACTTTCATGAAGTTAAACGTATATCTAAATGGTTCAAGAGATCAAAAGATAATAAATAATTACTTAAAGAATTAAAGTGTCATTATTGTTTAATTGTAATTAAATTAATTGTTGTTAATCAATCGAGCAATATACTATAGTGGGGCCGAAACGTCTCGCGGAAAAGGGCCGAAACGTCCAGGGGCCGATTTTTCGACTGGGGCCGATTTGGTTTGGGGCGGAAACGTCCTGCTTGCCACAATTTGGCACAAAACAAATGCGAAAGATTTTCGTGACACTGTTGTAAATGTTAGCAATCAGTACCTAGTGCATTTTGCCACAAAATCGAAAGATTTGTAAATAGATCGATACAATGAATAGCACGATACAATGGGGTTCCACTATACCACCGTTTAAACGTTATTGGTTCTTTACAAATTATCATGTATATAAAGAAACGTTTACAAAAAAATTATTATAAACGTGGGAGCCTTATAACTTATTTTAGTAGGTCTTAATAGGAGCCATTATTTAGTTAACAATTAAATTTTGAGAATTAATGTGTTATCGGGTATAAAACTTTGATTAGAAAGCATAAAAAAGTATATTTATTGAAAAATATTACTCTGAAATCTTTAACGCCATGTTGATAAATCGGATAGCTTTTGATACTTCCGCTTCCAATTTTTCGGTCCTAAAGCATTTCGCACCGATACAACTTCGTTACACTCACGGTTCGTACCCAACGTTTTGTCCATACACGAAAACATATCGTCTGCATCAACATGTTGAAAATAAGTATTTCAAACATATAAAAACATATGACTTGTTTTATGTGCGAAAAAATTTCGTTAATACTTTCAAAGATAAATTTATTATTATAAGTGACAAATAGCCCTGATAGAGAAACTTATTAATAAGCTACATATAAATATGTACGTAAACTCTGATCAAGCCTGTGGCCCGGATAAAATAAAATTCAATTATACTCAACACACTTTTTAGAGAGCTCTTTCAAATCCTTAACTTTTAGATTATTTTCCGAAAGTCCATGGATGAAGGTTTGTTGCCATTCCAATGAAAATTTGCACTTGTAGGCCAATCTCTGCCAATTATAGTCTAATTTCCTTGACATTTTTTTGTGTAAGGCTATAGAACACATACTTTCCTCTTCTATTATCATACATGTTACCACCTTCAACATGGTTTATTATGTTAGTAAATGACCTGGTCACCCTAGTCCATGAGAAAAAATAAGTAAATCTGATCCTCTTGCAATTGAATAAAGCTTTCGGTAAGGTCAGTCATGAGAAAGTACTGCTGAAAATACACGACAAAGGATCGAGAGGTCAAACGTTTCTAGATAACAGGCTGCACAGTCCGTTGTGCTAAATTGCAGCAGCTCAAACCCGATCCCAGTATCCTCAGGCGTCCACAAGGCTCAGTTTTAGGACCCCTCCTGTTTCTTGCTTACATAGAATTTAATGACCTCCAACAAAACATAAATTTAGAGGTCCGCTTGTTTGCAGACAATACTGCAATATGCGTTGCTCTGACATCTGCAAACTAGATCAATTACCCTCCAAATGGCCTATATATAGGTAAGAATAGTTGAAGTTAGAGTGGGATATGAAATTAAACATCTCCAAAGGACGTGTCACCCACGTCACAAAAAGTAAGCATCCTATCCCAAGAAAATAATACCTTTAGATTTCAACTAGAATCGATTACCTTACCTAAATACCTAGGCGTGGATATATCAGAAAACCTTACATGGGATGCCCACATAAACAGGACATAAAAGACAGCAAACTAAACCTTAAGATATGGTTCCGAAGTATGGTCTCCCCACAACAAAATACAAAAAGATCTAACTGAACATATCCAATGAAGAGCAGCCCAACGAAGCAATTTAGATTATGGTCAGGCGTCTAGTGTCACGGACATCCTTAACTCCCATAATTTTCGGAAATTAGAACTCATACGTAGAGATGCTTGGTTATCCCTTTTCTACAAAATTCACCATGGTGTAGGTCCTATCCCCATAGAAGAACATGTGACACCCTTATACCGAACATCACTGCATGGCCATCCCCTGTGTAAAAGGTTATTCATTACAAGTTAAATTTTCTTCTTTTATCCTCTTTTAAACATCTCTTTTTAACATTTCTGCCATTTTGACACGCATTTATCTCTCCATCCCCGCGAGTGGTTTGGCATTAATTGAAAATATATAGATAAGATAGAATTTTTTTAATAAGTAAAATGTAAAATAGAAACTTAAAAAAATAAACGTCACATTTTTAAAAAAAATGTTTAAAGAATATATTAAATAGAAAAGTTTTAATAATGATATAAAATTGCCTAAAATGATTGCAAAAACTGTCACATTATATGGCGTGAAGCGTTTTAAGGCGACTAGTATTTGGAGCGAACTATTAATTTACGGAAAAGGCTGAAGACTGCTAAGAGCACACGGAATTACCCGATGTCGTCGTCTTTATCTCGGACCAAGATGGCTGCGCCCTTGGACTGAATCTATGTTTATAATATTTGCAAGACATCTATGCCCATATCAGAAAGATTGATCAACGTAAATGTCTTTAAATTTAATTAATTTCATTTTTTTTTATATATTTTCATTGATTGACTTTCCAAAAATTAAGTCATGAATAAAATAATTACGGTTAACCGTTTAGAGAGAAAAATGAAGCTTATGTAACTGGTAACCTCAACGTAAACTGGTAAATTTATCTAGAGAAAAAATAAAATAAAAAAATTGATAAATAATTAAATTACTTATCTGTTATTGTGTAATAAACGTATCTGTTATTGTGTAATAAACGTGTAATACGTTAGACAAGCCATCCCGGCGTTTGACTTCCCCTACACCAGCATGGATTTAGAGAAGGCGGAGCTGCGAAACCCAGCTACTAACGCTGACAGATGAGCTCACTAAGTCCATGGACCAGCGTAAACAACATGACCTCGCAGTACTGGACTTCAGCAAAGCGTTCGACCGCATCCCACACAGCTGCCTGCTAGCCAAGCTTCATCATTATGGCATCAGAAACCATACCCTGAAGTGGATTGAGGCATTTCTCACAGGCTGCACTCAGTGCGTAGTTGTTGATGGAGCAACTTCGACCCAGCACACGTTATCAGCCGAGTCCCCCAGGGAAGCGTACGTGGACCCATACTCTTTCTGGTCTTCATCAACAACCTTCCACTTCATGTCACATCCAAGGCTCTTTGCTAATGACTGTGTGGTATACCGGGAAATCGCCACTGAAGAGGACTGCCACATTTTACAGGATGATCTTAAGAAGCTGGCATTGTTGGAGAAACGCTAGGGCATGAGTTTTCACCCAGAGAAGTGCAGCATAATCTGGGTCCACAGGAAGAGGAACTCCATCATATACATGTACCCGTACTCCTTGAAGGGCCACACACTCGAGATAGACTCGACAACCAAGTACCTCTGAGTCTATATGTCTGGAAACCTCTCCTGGAACCAACATGTTGACAAGATTGTGAAGAAGGGCAACAGTACACTTCCTTCGACGCAACCTGCGCATCAGCAACAAACAGGTCAAGAGCACAGCCTACATGTCACTTGTGCGACCAGGCCTTGAATATTGCACCACCGTCTGGAACCCTTATACCAACAACCTTACACGCAAGCTCGAGATGGTCCAGAGGAGAGTTGCAAAATATGTGTTGAATCGTTACCACAACACCAGCAGCGTATTCTTCATGATCCAACACTTTGGTTGGGAGACATTAGAGTCACGGCGGACCAAAGCCCAGCAGCTGACCATGATGTTCAAGATCACCAATGACCTTGTGGACATACCAGTCAGCGATTATCTCACCCCTGCCCCGAGCCGCACAAGAAGTGACCACTCCAAGAAGTTCCATCTACCATAAGAACTCCTTCTTCCCTCGTACAGCTACAACCTGGAACAGCCTAAATGCCCCCATTGCAGAGGCCCCTGACTTGGTATCCTTCAAGCAGGAGTTATCATCCCTCACATTTTAATCCGCCATTAGGGGCCCAGCTACAAGTACCCGCTAGTGATATCCAAGGCTGTGCCGGCCGCGGCCACCGTAACCGGAGAGGTTTGGGTTGAAGAGGCGAAATGTAGCTGGCCAGACTTTTTGTCTATATTATACCTCTTTCTTTTGACCTATCCAACCTCTTCTAACTTTCTATCATTTCTTGTATATTTCTTTCTCTTGACCTAGCACCACCTGTCGCTTTATAGTCAAGTGTGATTGCGCGACGTACGATGTAGATGTAGAAGTAGGTAAAGCCAATGAATGGGGAAGTCAGATAAAAATAAATTTGTTTATTTTTTGCTTTAAAGGGTTCATTCAGTATTTCATGCACTGCTTCCGTTTTTAATCAGAAAACCTAGACAATTATTCTTAGGCAGAAAAGTTGCAATTCTGTTGTCGGATTATCATTAAGTTTATACTGAAAAAATGGCACCGCCCAACTAGAAATGGCACTGAAAAGTAAAGAAATCTATATATTTGAAAAATTATTTCATTTAATTGTTTTTCATTTATATCCTTTAAAAAATGCACATGTAGTCTATAGCCAGGACGGTGCAAGCCAAATCCTGGGGCCACTTTGTGGAATTGCGGACCCGGCCGTTGACTTCCCAGTTTTTTAATGCAAGACACTTTAATGACCCAAGCTTGAGTACAGTTCTAGCACCTTGTCACCATACTCTTAGCTCTCATTAACCACATTGAGCCCATGTATCATTGTGCTAAAAGGACTAAAATGATACATCAATTGTCTCTGCCATGGATCATCTGCCATGCTTAATTCTCAATTGTGGCATAGTCTAGAGCAAAGACGAATACATGTAAATCAGTACTTCAAAATATCCTGCAAAATAAGGTTACCATTCCTCTTCCAGACAACCTCAAGCTAGTGACCTGACTAATTCGAAATTCCCATATCCTTGCCTTCAAACGAATTCAAACAACTACAGTCGAGACTGTCTTAGCGACTCCCTGATTTACACATCTTAGCGACCCCCTGATTTAAACGACTCCCTGTCTTATCCGACCTTGATTCAGTCCTCCAAACGTATTTCCCTATATAAATAGTCTGAATTATACGACTCCCTGTCATATGTGACAAGCGACTCTAATTGTCTGGTCCCAATGCATTGCTTTGTCTGATTTAAACGGCTTTCACACCTTTTAATTGTTGTTAATCAGATAAATAATACCTCTTTTAACACCCAGAGGGACAAAATAAGGTCCAATTATTATCCAGTAGTCAGTACTCTTAAAACAAACTCTACACAACTCTGCCTCAATTACACAGATTACATGTATACAGGTAACAAGTGACGAAGCGTCTACTCCCTACTTCCAAATATGGTAAGCATGATGCAATCAATGTGTTATCAAATTGAGGTGTAATATACATAATGACCTGAGCAAACTGGATTAAGATTTGTGTCAGATTGTTTTTAATGTTTATGGAGTGCTAACGGAAGATCTTTTAAGGCAGCATTTTTTTATTTCACATTTCTATGGCTGCATAAATACTACCGAAAAATGCTGATTCCAGACCTTTCATTTAAAGAGAAAAAACTTTGGATATGGATATGTTTTTAAAGTATGATGTTTATTTTAATGGATCAAAATCAAGTTTATTTTGTACCATAATGATTCAATATAAATCTAATACAAACAATAAAATTAAATTTTACATGATATTCACGTTATTATATTTGTTTTACTCGGATTCTTATTTTATTTACAACAAATATTTAGACTGTTAAAGTACCTATGTTTATTTGCAATTGGTTAATTATTGTTCCTTCACACAGTTATGTATGTTAAGTCACAATGGTATATAGATGGTATTTAAATTTTAATTTTCTTTGAGACTGTTTTAAGAGACTCCCAGTCATATATGACCTTTTTCTGAAGGTCCCTTGGAAAGTCACATGACAGTCTCGACTGTATCACAAATACTCGCTCTTCTCCAGGACCATTCTTCATTGGAATGCCTTGCCCCCAGATGTTGTCAATTTGTCTGGGCCAATGTTCAATAACGCTATTTATAAGCCAGATTGAGTATGTCTAATCCTATATGTAAATACACACCTACCTTGCTTTTACATGTATCTACATACATGTATTTTACACTTTTATCTCACTTTCAAACCCTCTGTATTTATCCTTTTTAGTAGCCAATGACAGGTAAAGTCTAGGTCCTCTGAGCAGGGATTTGACAAAAAAGCTGATAGAAAGATTGAAAATCAAAAGAATGACTTATAAATTTAAGCGTTTTTTCATCCATTTCCTAATACTAAGTGTGGTGAAGAAATTTAAGAATAATAATATATCATTTTGCAATATTGAAATAATTGTTTTTCTATCAATATAGGGAGCATGGGGACAATGATTTTACAACGAGTGAGACTTGCGCTGAAGTACAGCAGTATAGGTGCAGTAGTTGGGGGTTCCGTGTACTTATTGAGGAAAAATGACTGGGAGATGTCAACAGTGGGTGTGGTTAGGTTTGGCAGGGCTGCAGCGGCAGTAAGTTATTAACTCATAGCATGAGATATAAAAAGTAATTACTAATAGCAAGTTATAGTCTTATGTCCGGGTCAACATGGCCAGACTTTTTATCATACTTACAGTGTGCTTACTTTATGCATGTTTAATATTGTTTGTTATAATGAAATTTCTACAATTAAACTATTATCAAATTATAGCAATAAGCCAATAACATTGCTCTCAATCAGTCTGGACGAAAGTTGATTTAGTATCTGATAAAGAATTAAAATTCGAACAGAATTTGAGAGGAGTAAAAAAAAAAAGGTTGTTTATTTAAAGAATTATTGTAGGCTTTTTTTCTCTTTGTGTAATTTCTTTATTCTTTGGTATGTAATTATTTAAGTTCAATAACAAGGAGATAATGCTATAATTTACTTATTTATTTTCAATAGTTTAAGTTAACTGCAGTGAAAAAAATATACAATGTATCTTGTTTAAATATTCAGTTTTTATTTGAAGGTAAAAAAAAACCCCAAAAAACATTGGTACTTCTTTATTCACATATTGTGTTTGTTTAAATGAAACTCTATCAATTGTCATCTTATGTTAACATAAAGTTCTGTGTATATTCATAGGCTGCAAGTATAGTTGCAGATTACAAATGGAACCTAAGAAATGTAGATCCAAAGTCGAAAGAATATGAACTCCTTAAATCACAGGTAACTATGTGAATGTGTTACTAATTCTAAAGATTTCTTTGAGGAAAACAACAGTCTTAAAATAGTGATTAAATATTTAAAATATCACTTACTGTAACAGCACATGTTAAACTGTTGTTAATGTAAAAAAAAAATGTATATTTCACTATCTAAAGTCAATATTTGTTTTCCAAACACATTCTTTGTTTAAAGCACATGGTAAAACATTTTAAATTTTATTTAGGGACACAAATATTTTCTGAAACGGTTTAACCAATATTCAAATATTAGATAGATCTGTCATATATTTAAATACATATGAATATTCGGTTTGTATAAAAGTAACAGTTGTCATCCGAAATTGTATATCTGAATACTAGTACTGTTGTAATTGATTATTGATATGCATCACCTAGTGCAGTAAGGTGCCCTTTCGTGCCTGAAATAATGCACGGAGGTCTTCCTCCACCAGTAAAGCTGGAACGTCGCGATATGACCTATACTGTGTCGATGTCACGTAAAACCCAAAACAAACAAACAAGCCTAGTGCAGTAACATGTTAAGTCCTTTGAAATTTAATAGGAGTTAACCAGTTATTGCACTAAGGTGACATATTGTTCCCAACTGTAATTTAATCTTATTTTTTAACAAGTGAATGAGGGAACTTAGAGGAGGTATATTGTACATGAATACACAGAGCTTTATTTAAATTGAGAATAAGCTATGAAGTCATACTCTTAAAATCTGTATCAGGGATTTATAATCCGGCAAGTGATTTTCTGAGGCCATGTTTGACACAAGAAAATTTACCAATGTGTGCGCCGTCATATTATCTTAAATTTGTTATGGTAATCAAAACAAGTAGCCAAAATATATAAAAGAAGAACAATAAAGGTTAAGAAGATGTAAATAGTTCTTAATAATATTTGAAAATGTTAACATATTTGGTTACGTAAAACAATTGATCAATTCCAAGTTTGCAAGGGATTGTAGGTCAGGATTGGAAAATTTTCAGTTTTAAGACCTTCTTATCCCTCTGAAATATAAGCCTCTGATGTATATCATTTATTCCAAATAATGTTTACAGATACACACAAGATCAGCTTTAAAATTACGTGCAATGTGTTGTAAAAATGGTGGGGCATTCATCAAAGTAGGTCAGCACGTGGGCACGCTAGAGTACCTTCTGCCAGCAGAGTATGTTAACACAATGAAGATTCTTCACAATGACGCCCCTCAATCTGCCATCGAAGACTTGTTCAAAGTGTTCGAGGAAGATATAGGTAAAAAGGTATTTAAAACTCACATTTTGCTTATATAAACCTTGGATAAATTGCATAAATATTGCTTATATAAAATTGGGATAAATTGCATAGTTATTTGGATAAATTGCATAATTACATGTTTTCTTACGCCATTTAAATGTTAAATGCAACCAAGTTTAGAGACTAAATTGATAAATATATTTAATGCAAAAATTTTGACTCTTAAACATTCTTTGGCCAAAGTAATTGGTAACTAAGTATTCTTAGGATGAAAGTGTGAATATTCTATGGCATAATTAAGTTATTGAGAATTTTGTACAAATTATATATTAGATGAACCAGACTATTTCAAGAAAATTAGACTTGAGCAAAATTTACCAAGATTTTGAGAAAAGTAAAAAATATTCAAGATTTAAGTAATAATTTAGAGTGGTTGGACCAATGCTCGGCACATACCAATGCTCGGCGTAAAACATATTTTTTTAGAATATTTGAAAATGTCTCGAGTTATCTCCGATTTAGGTCACTGGTGCTTTTATTTACATCTTTCACCATTTTATCCTGGTGTGGTTCACTGCTGGTAAAGTCACGTGACAATGCTAATAGCAGACGAACAACCGTATGTAATCTGCAACATATAAATTATTAAAATCTTTTAACACTAGAGTTCTGGGGCTGTAAAATTTAAACTAAAAGTTGGGTACTTGTAAATGTTTGAACCTAATTTGGTTGTTACAATTTATTCAATATGTTTTCTTCAAAAGATAAAAAAAGGAGATTTTATTCGAAAAACAATCCTGCATCATGTAGTATTGTACGCCGAGCTATGGTACAATTTCACGCAAACCACTCTTGTTTATCCGGAATATCTATAGCTCCAGCCATGTACATCATTATGTGATTAGCAAATTTTACACAATGGCTATTTAAAACAATATCATCGGTCTTGAAAATGGGCATATAACATTGAGGTTTGTTGACGTTGATTTGAATTTACCATATCAAATATAGTATTTTTACGCCGAGCATTGGTCCACCCACTTTACATGTTATGTGCGATAAAACATTGATTTTGCAGTTTGTATCAACAGATTTTTACTGCATGTCTATATATTATATCGCATTAAAAATGATTTATTCTGCAGGTAGAGGATGTGTTTGTGTCATTCTCCAAAGAACCTTTGGGTACGGCATCCCTAGCTCAGGTCCACAAGGCAACCACAAAGGATGGTAAAGTTCTGGCTGTGAAAATTCAGCACCCAAAAGTTAAAGCACATTCATACCTGGACATAAGAACAATGGAGGTAAACTTGCAGTCTTAACATTTACTTCTTATTCTACAATTTTTCATTTATTTCACAAGCCTGCTAAACCCAATAGGGTTTTTTCAATCAAGACAAAATATCTCCATGACAACAAATCTCGGATATTGAATCTAATGGACTTAAATTGTATTTCGCCGCTGATTTAGTAATTCTGTGGGATTAGAAGTCAGCCACTTGTGGAGAAATTTGTAATTACTGGTTTGTTATTCATTGGAGCTGGTTAGTTGGATCAGCTGTTGAGAAATGACCAAAACTCTGTTAAATTGGCATAAAAAACCCAAACAAACATCAAAATCATGTGATAATGTGAATTATCAGTAACAGTTTCAGATTCTTAGTTCAGGTAAATTTCAAACAAAAACACTGAGTATCTATTTGATATGGATTTACAGTTTCTAAGGTAACTTTGCTTGCTGTTTTCCTGCATATCTGCAGTTTCTAAGGTAGTTAAGCATGCTGTATTCTTACATATTTGCAGTTTCTGATCAATCGTGTAGCTTGGATATTTCCTGACTTCCAGTACGTTTGGTTAGCTGAAGAAACTAGAAGAAATCTACCAAAAGAGTTGGATTTTATAAAGGAAGGTGAACATTGTGAAAGGGCTGCCAAAATGTTCAGTCATTTTAAATTCTTAAAGGTATGCTTTCTTCAAATGTTATTATTTCTGTCAGTTGAACTTCAAAATTATCATGTCTGTCCTTTCGCTGGAAAAAAAAAAGGAATTTGGAGTTGAGGATCCAAAGATTCAATCCAAGGATGTGACTCCTGCTTAAAACATACTAGTGCATGTATATGTTTGAAACATACTGGTCTGAATTATTGACCATTTCTTGAACCTGTGAAGCATACTTTTTTTAATGTCCAAATATCTATATGATTTGGGTGTCCGTGGATTAGTGGGTAAGGTTATTGACTTCACCTCTTGTCCCTCACTGCTGTTGGTTCGAAACTCCAAAGGGACTTTCATTTGAGGAAGCTATCCAGCTAGTTTACATAATATTGATAGTTCTATTTAAGTGCCCATTTGTCCCTGAAATAATGCAAGGAAGGACACCTGAGGTCTTCCTCTACCAGTAAAGCTGGAAAGTCGCCATATGACCTATACTGTGTTGGTGCATCAAAAATCCAAAAACATCATGAAAAAATATGAAATTGATAACCTTTACCATACTGTATTAATATCATGGACTTATTATTCTTTGAATTTGGAACTGTCCGTTCGTCAATTTGGGTGATGTTTTATGAAAGATTGTTTAATGAAATTTTAACATACCTCTTGACGACTGATTTATTTTGATGAAAACAGTGATTCTACACCTTTGTGACTCAACTTTCCAAATAAAATTTCAAAGTATTTGGGAAATCGCGTTTTTACTTTTGGTTTGTTTAACAGAATTGATATGATAGCATTTCTATTTTACCAAATACATCTTGATTATATGTTTAGATGTTATCAAATTTTTCATTATTAACAAAATGACTATCCATATCATCGGTGGAAATGCTGTTAAAGTCTATTGTAATTTCAGCCTGTAGATTAGAATATCCCCCTTGGCCAAATTGGTTATTTTCATTGGCATATCTGTTGCCTAAGATAAAATGAAAACCCTGTGTTTATGTGATATATGTGTATATTCCAACATTACAGGTACCAAAGGTATATTGGGATTTATCCAGTGAGAGAGTGCTGACCATGGAATATTGTGAGGGTGGAAAAGTTGATGATAGGGCATACATGAAAAAACACAAAATAGATGTGAATGAGGTAAGTATGATGGCGTACACATGTATTACATGTGATTGTTGGTATTCTCTTTGAATTTGGAACAGTTCATTTAATTTTAAGGGTTTCAGTGTGGTTGTAGTTATTTTCTTTCTTTCTTTCTTTCAGGATATTTTTTTCTTTCTTTCAATTTTAGGATATTAAGATGGATTTATTGATATTAATCACTTAACACACATAACTTTATATAATGGACTCTCCCAGCTTTGAATTTGCAAAGTGTCGTTTAAATTTTTAGGGTCGAGTAGCAGATGCTATAAAGTTTGTGAAGAAAAAATGATACAACTGACTTTAAACTGATTGCATAGACATGTTATCAACATTGCTAACATCTAATGAGTTTCAGTAGAATATTTTGATAATTCAACTTTTGAAGATGAGTAATAAGAGCTGTAGTTCTCTCCCTTGCATAGAAGTTTGCTTTACGGCATTGTTAGTTTTTAAGTAAGAAAACCCTAAAACTGCTTGAACCAGAAGTGATTAGCCTAGTACTACTGGTAAAGAGTCAGAGGTGCCTGCACATTATAGCTGTCAGTCTCAGGTTTATTCTTTTTTAATTTTAAAATTTTGACATTGAAATTACTTCAAATGAACTGTTCCTAATTCAAAGCAGGGTAACTGCCTGTATTTCTTTAGATCAGGACAAATATAAGGGTAACTGCCTGTATATTTAAGGGTATCTGCCTGTATTTTACAAAGCATGCCAAAATTAAGGAAAACTGCCTGAATTTATTAAAAGCTTGGCAAAATTAAGGAAAACTGCCTGAATTTATTAAAAGCTTGGCAAATTTAAGGGTAACAGTCTGTATTTATTAAAAGCTTGGCAAATTTAAGGGTAACAGTCTGTATTTATTAAAAGCTTGGCAAATTTAAGGGTAACAGTCTGTATTTATTAAAAGCTTGGCAAATTTAAGGGTAACAGTCTGTATTTATTCAAAGCTTGGCAAATTTAAGGGTAACAGTCTGTATTTATTAAAAGCTTTGCAAATTTAAGGGTAACAGTCTGTGTTTATTAAAAGCTTGGCAAATTTAAGGGTAACAGTCTGTATTTATTCAAAGCGGCAAATTTAAGGGTAACAGTATGTATTTATTCAAAGCAGGGCAAATTTAAGGGTAACAGTCTGTATTTAATTACTTTATTTTCAATTAATTAATTTCTGACCTATACATGATTTATATATAATAGATATTTATATATATCAGGTATCAAGAGATTTAGGGAAGCTTTACAGTGAGATGATATTTGTCAATGGTTACGTTCACTGTGACCCACATCCTGGGAACGTTCTAGTCAACAAAACAAAGCAGGGCACACAGATTGTGCTGCTTGATCATGGACTGTATCAGGTATTTATTTCATACTATTCATTATGCCCCCGCCATGTAATGGCCGGGGCATATAGTGTTACCTTGTTCCGTCATTCCGTCATTCTGTCATTCCGTCATCATCAGTTTCCCTTCATTATACCCCCGCACAACAAAGTTGTAAGGGGGGTATACTGGAATCAGCTTGTCCGTCCGTCCGTCCGGCTGTCCGTCGGTTTTTTCTTGTCCGCCCAATAACTTAAGATTCCTTTGACCCTTAGTCTTCATATTTGGCATGGAGGTTAGTCATGATTAGTAGATGACCCCTATTGATTTTGAGGTCACTAGGTCAAAGGTCAAGGTCACAGGGGCCTTGACTTCAAAAAGCTTGTCCGCCCAATAACTTAAGATTCCTTTGACCCACAGTCTTCATATTTTGCATGAAGGTTAGTCATGATTAGTAGATGACCCCTATTGATTTTGAGGTCACTAGGTCAAAGGTCAAGGTCACAGGGGCTTTGACTTCAAAAAGCTTGTCCGCCCAATAACTTAAGATTCCTTTGACCCACAGTCTTCATATTTGGCATGAAGGTTAGTCATGATTAGTAGATGACCCCTATTGATTTTGAAGTCACTAGGTCAAAGGTCAAGGTCACAGGGGCTTTGACTAAAAAAGCTTGTCCGCCCAATAACTTAAGATTCCTTTGACCCACAGTCTTCATATTTGGCATGGAGGTTAGTCATGATTAGTAGATGACCCCTATTGATTTTGAGGTCACTAGGTCAAAGGTCAAGGTCACAGGGGCCTTGACTTCAAAAAGCTTGTCCGCCCAATAACTTAAGATTCCTTTGACCCACAGTCTTCATATTTGGCATGAAGGTTAGTCATGATTAGTAGATGACCCCTATTGATTTTGAGGTCACTAGGTCAAAGGTCAAGGTCACAGGGGCTTTGACTTCAAAAAGCTTGTCCGCCCAATAACTTAAGATTCCTTTGACCCACAGTCTTCATATTTTGCATGAAGGTTAGTCATGATTAGTAGATGACCCCTATTGATTTTGAGGTCACTAGGTCAAAGGTCAAGGTCACAGGGGCTTTGACTTCAAAAAGCTTGTCCGCCCAATAACTTAAGATTCCTTTGACCCTTAGTCTTCATATTTGGCATGGAGGTTAGTCATGATTAGTAGATGACCCCTATTGATTTTGAGGTCAAAAAGGTCAAGGTCACAGGGGCCTTGACTTCAAAAAGCTTGTCCGCCCAATAACTTAAGATTCCTTTGACCCACAGTCTTCATATTTTGCATGAAGGTTAGTCATGATTAGTAGATGACCCCTATTGATTTTGAGGTCACTAGGTCAAAGGTCAAGGTCACAGGGGCTTTGACTTCAAAAAGCTTGTCCGCCCAATAACTTAAGATTCCTTTGACCCACAGTCTTCATATTTGGCAATGATTAGTAGATGACCCCTATTGATTTTGAGGTCACCATGTCAAAGGTCAAGGTCACAGGGACTTTGACTTCAAAAAGTTTGTCTGCCCAATAACTAGATTCCTTTGACCCACAGTCTTCATATTTGGCATGGATGTTGGTCATGACTATAAGGTGACCCCTATTGATTTTGAGGTCACTGGGTCAAAGGTCAAGGTCACAGGGACCTTGACAAAAAAAGCTTTTCTTCTCAATTGCTAAAGTATGTCCTGTCCGCAATGTATTGATTTTGACATTTTCACATTTGAAGCATGTAGAATACATAATTTAGCAATGCACTGGCTTAGTAACCTCAGATTTGGCAGGGAGGTTGTCCTTGAGCTCTAAATGGCCACTGTTGATTCTGACAAAGTGGTATGCGGGGGTATTCACACCATGATAGTGGCAGTTCTAGTTATCATAGTAACGGTTGCACACATTCAACTCAAATTTAACATATGGATATGTCATGAGAAAATACAGGTCAAGTTCGAATTTGGTCATGGTTCGATGATTTTTGGCAGAGTTATGCCCCTTTTACTTTAAAATAATATGAAATTTTCAGTTTCCGTTCATTATCTCCCCAACGGTACAACACATTCAACTCAAACTTGACATATGGATATGTCATGAGAAAATACAGGTCAAGTTTGAATTTGGTCATGGTTGGATGATTTTTGGCAGAGTTATGCCCATTTTACTTTGAAAATAATATCAAATTTTCAGTTTCCGTTCATTATCTCCCCAACGGTACAACACATTCAACTCAAATTTGACATATGGATATGTCATGAGAAAATACAGGTCAAGAATGAATTTGGTCATGGTTCGATGATTTTAGGCAGAGTTATGCCCATTTTACTTTGAAAATAATATCAAATTTTCAGTTTCCGTTCATTATCTCCCCAACGGTACAACACATTCAACTCAAATTTGACATATGGATATGTCATGAGAAAATACAGGTCAAGTTTGAATTTGGTCATGGTTGGATGATTTTTGGCAGAGTTATGCCCCTTTCACTTTGAAAATAATATGAAATTTTCAGTGTCTGTTTATTATCTCCCCAATGGTACAACACATTCAACTCAAATTTGACATATGGATATGTTTTTGGAATGCCAAGGCCAAGTTAGAATTTGGTCATGGTTCAATGATTTTTGGTACAGTAATGCCCCTTTCACTTTGAAAAAAGTATGAATTATTACATGCTTTTCGGTGGTTTATAGAAATTTATCAGTGATATAAAACTGGTAATTTCACTGTTTGAAACAGTAAAATTACCACTTTGATAATTTCACCGTTTTGAATTTAAGCCCCTTACGTTGTTTCAGTGAAATACCAGCGTGCACAGTACTGGGTACCAACTTAATGACGTGGCGTCATAAATGACGTCACGTTGTATTATTATTTGACGCGCTTTTAATTCAGTGTTGGGTTAAATATCTTTTTAAAACGTTTCTTTGCATATAATAAAAAGAAAATTTGATTAGTTGAGTGTAAGATTGAAATATATTTCACCTTGTGAACACCAAAAGTTCATATTTCACTCGTGGCTGCGCCACTCGTGAAATATACCTTCTGGTGCTCACTGGATGAAATATATTTCGATCTTACACTGAACTAAACAAATATCCTCTATATTTACAGTTTCTGTTCATTATCTACCCAACAGTGTTACATATTCAACATAAATTTGACATATGAATATGTCAAAGGAATTGGCAGGTCAAGTTGAAATTTGGTCATGGTTCGATGATTTTTTGGCAGAGTTATGTCCCTTTCACTTTGAAAATAATATAGATACATCTTAGGAATAAGCCGTTTAAGTTTGAATTTGGTCGTGGTTCAATGTTTTTGGACAAACTTATCTTTCTTGAATGTTGGAAAAATTTTAAACTTTCAGTTTCAGCACTCATACTTTTGTGGAAATGTATGTAGCCATTATTTTGGCTACGAATATGAAATATGCTATTTTCAAAAGGTTAAGACTGAATAATTTCAGTGCCTTGAACATTGTATGAAAAGGGTTTATGTTAACATTGAAAAGTTTTAAGGGCTTTGATCTTAAAATGAAAAAATTAATTTGTGCAAACAAATTTGGAACTAAATATTATAACAATTTTGGCTGCATGCGAAGGCATCCGTGGCATGATGACACATTTCTAGTGTTTCTTGGTTTTGGTATATTTTTCTACAATAAGCATAGTTTAGGCACATTTCGCGAATTGGATTAATTTTGTATGTTTTTAAACAAGAATTGGAAATAGCACAACTTTGATCAACTCCTTTTTTTCTACAAGTGAGTTTTCTCACCCACTGCAATTTAGAACATTTTTATCAGGAAATATAATATTTGGAAAAAATAAGTCTTGGCAATTATTAACATTGAAGGAAATAAAAAATGGTGTACTTTTTATACATAAGTTTAAGTTGAAAAACTATGTCATTATTTTGTCAATCTGGTTAAAAATTCAGCAATGTTAAGGTTGAAATTTAGGGAAATAGAATTGATTTTATATAGCAATAAAAGTCTTGAAGCCTCATTGTATGATACTTGTAATTAAAAAAAAATTATGATACTTTGTTATAATTGTAGCAGATACCTTCATGTACATTGTTTATTTCATGTTATATCCATATTCATGAAAAAGATAACCAAAAAATCTGATCCTTACCTGATCTCCCTGATTCTAAAAGTATTCCTAATTTTTTACCTATCCAAATGATTTATATTTCAGACATTAACAGATGATTTCCGTATCAACTATTGTAAGCTATGGATGTCCATTATACAGACCAACCTGAAGGGCATTGAGAAATATTCCAAGAATTTAGACGTAGGCAGATTATACCCATTGTTTGCTTGTATGCTGACAGCGCGATCATGGGATGCTGTAACACACGGTATAGATACTAGGGAAGTCACTGATAAAGAAGTAAGTACATACATAACCTCTTGCCTCTCACCACTGTCGGTTTCAATCCTGTCAGCAATTTCAGATGTTTTGGAAAAAAAGCCTCCGTGGTCGAGGGGTTAGAGTCGATGATTTCTAATCCAGTTACCTCTCTGGCGTGGGTTCGATCCCCCGGAGATGCTTTGGTAGTTTATCGGGGGAAGGTAGTCTAGTACTGGTGTAAATCTCCAGGAACGATGGTTCGGAAACTACCCGCCTATATGACTGAAATACTGTTGGGAAAAGGCGTAAAATGAAACAAACAAACAAATAAAAGATTTGTTCATGTTAGGAAACTGTCAAGCTAGCTAATGAAATGTTGGTGGTTCTACTCAGGTGCCTGTTTGTGCCTGAAATAATGAATGGAGGGGCACCTGAGTTCATCCTCCTCCATTAAAGCTGGAAAATTGCCATATGACATCTTCTGTTTTGGTAGTTCTACTCATGTACCCTTTTGTGCCTGAAAAAATGCACAGGGGGGTATGTACTCAATAAAAAACGAGGGTCATGATGTATTCGAGTATACAAATTATTATATGAATGATTCTTCTGTGTTTTTTTTTAAATTGATTAACGCATAATATATAAATATGTGCAAATACTTATTTTGGCCTCTATTGTTTAATTTCTTTTTCAGAATGACGAGTTACGAGAAAACGCTGCAACCTACTTCATTGAAATATCCCAGGTTTTGAACAGTATACCTCGACAAATGCTGCTCATCATGAAAACTAATGATGTTTTACGTGGAATTGAAGCAGCTCTGCAGACACGATCAAATGCATCGTCTTTCATTAACATGTCTAAATGTTGTATTCGAGCGCTCGGAAGAGAAAAGTTAAAGAATTGTGAAGGTTACTTTCAGATGTTGCGGACTCAGTCCTACACGCACTGGCAGTTAGCTAGAATTCAGTTATATGAGTTTATATTGTGGCTTAGATCCTCTGCCTTAGTTAGGTGGTTTAAAGGGAACAAACAAGTGACTGCAAGTTGATGTTAGTTAACTTAGTTCACTAACTTAGTGATGTTAGTTTTATATTTTTTGAATGTGAGTTGTAGATAGTGACATGCCCATATCACCAGTGTACAGTCAGACCGGACTACTTTTTTGTGCTGACTGACCAGAATGTATACTGTTGGTTGCTGGATTTATGATTTTGAAATTAAAACCCCTAAAAATAGAAGTGGACAGTTCCAAAGTAAAAGTAGGGCAAGTCCATTATAGAAATAAAGTGATATAAGAGGTCAATATTTTAAGGTCTTAGAGCAAGAACCATTGACAACAAGTTGTTTTTGTACATTAAATGTTTTTACTCTTCTGCTAAAGGTGTTGCTTTAATTTTGCATAAAAAATGGGAAATGAAAATAGAAATGATCATAAGATGTCAGAGTTCCAGATAATTTTTTGGCGCTGGGGGTAATTACCCCCACTTTTCAGAATGTGGGAGTAAATTTAGATAAACCGTAAATCTAAAGAGTACAATTAAATGAGTTTACTTTTTTTGCTGCATCACAGGTTTATTACATTGAAATTAACACACCATAATGACCATTCTCTGATATTAAGGCTTCAGCCATAAGGCCTTTACCATTTTCTTAATTTTTTTTAACACTGTTTACAACAAAAATCGGTGACAATTCATAAACAATAACGTTACAAATAATCACCTGTCAGTTGCCGATTTCTGTATATTCATTGCACATTCATTAGCCCATACAATGCCAGCTTTAAATTTATGACATAGTTATGTGCGCCCTTTTCACTTTAAATAATTATACAGTATGAAAAAATAGTTGGTGTTATTTTTCGGGTATTAAACAGGAAAAAGAAACACAGTCAACTGTTAAACGGGAACGGAATCAGCTGTTTCGAAAATGAAAGTACACACGAAATACGCTTCGATTTTTCATTCTTTGCGTATTTAATTTATAGCATGCGTAAATGAACGCAAGAAATATGGAGCGTATTTAGTTGATTTTGAAGCTTAAAATACGCTGATACGCATGTTATCTGGAACTCTGACCATTTGTAAAGTATATTCACAAACATTGATATTTAATCTGTCTACAGTCTTAGTCTATTAGATCAGTGATACTTTTATTTTAAACAAAAAAGCATTTTAATATCTTTTTGCCTGTCTGCTAAGCTTTTTCGTGTTGATATGTGGCAACCTGGAGTCATGCGTTCAAACTGAAGGGCCAGTGAGTTCTATTTCTTAGTGAGGTGTGAATTTTTCTGTGAGATTTGCTGTCAAAAGTATTATTATGCCATTTGATCTCAGGTGATTTTAACCATTACTCTGTTGAGACTACCCATGTGACCAGTGCAGTCAAGATCAGCTGTATTCACTGAACACTATTCAGTCAATGCATATTTTGAAATTTTCCGCTTAACACAAATTGTTTTGCCCAGACTGAAAAGTAGACACATTCATTTTAAATATTGAGCATGTTAAGGGGTAAGAATAAAAGGTTAGCTGCAACTTGGGTGTTTGAATGACTCAAATACTGAAGTTCACTGTAAAACTTCATTGGTTTGTAGTTTTAAGAATTTGTACAACCTAGTCCTAGGGTATTTTTAGACATGTTATTATCATATTGTATGCATTTCTGTTTTGTTTTTTTAATATAAACATAATGTATGTGATAATATTTGTGATGTAGTTTTTGTGTCGCCTTGAAAAGGTGACATATAGGGGTTACTTTTGTCGGCGGCGGCGTCGGCGGCGTCTGTGTCGGCGGCGTCGTTGTCGGCGTCCCCTAAAGCTTGTCCGGAGCATAACTCAGTCACTATAAGTCTGATTGACTTCAAACTTGGTATGCATGCTTCTTTCAATAACCCGAAGTGCAATGCACAAGGACCGGTACTCTGCAGTTCTTATTTTTTGAGTTATTGCCCTTTGTTAATTTTCATACTTTAATTTTGTCCGGGCCATTTCTCTTCAACTAAAAAAGCAATGGACTTGAAACTTCATAGGATGATAGATCTCATTAAGAAGAAGTGCAGTGCACAAGAACCGGTACTCTGCACTTCCTCATTTTTGAGTTATTGCCCTTTGTGAATTTTCATACTTTATTTTTGTCCGGGCCATTTCTCCTAATGTATAAAAGCCATGGACTTGAAACTTCATAGGATGATAGGTCTCATTAAGAAGAAGTGCAGTGCACAAGAACAGGTACTCTGCATTTCTTATTTCTTGAGTTATTGCCCTTTGTTTATTTTCATACTTTATTTTGTCCGGGTCATTTCTCCTTAGGTATAAAAGCTATGGACTTGAAACTTCATAGGATGATAGATCTCATTAAGAAACAGTGCAGTGCATAAGAATCGGTACTCTGCATTTCTTAATTTTTGAGTTATGGCCCTTCGTTAATTTTCATACTTAATTTTTGTCCAGGCCATTTCTCCAAAAGTATAAAAGTTATGGACTTGAAACTTCATAGGATGATAGATCTCATTAAGAAAAAGTGCAGTGCATAAGAACTGATACTCTGCATTTCTTATTTGTTGAGTTATTGCCCTTTGTTGATTTTCTTACTTTATTTTTGTCCTGGTTATTTCTCCTCAAGTATGAAAGCTATGGACTTGAAACATCATAGAATGATAGATCTTATTGATAAGAAGTGCAGTGCACAGAAACTGCTGCTCTGCACTTATTGTTTTTTTAGTTATTGCCCTTTGTTATTTTTCATATTTCATTTTTTGTCCTGGCCATTTCTCCTAAACTACATTGTTCACAAGGCGACACATCCGACTCGGGGAGTTCTAGTTGTAATTTGAAATCAGTCTCATGAAAATGTTTGTTTTCCATATGTTTATATTGCATGATGATAAAATTTCTGTTGAGGGAAAAAAGACCGAAAATTGGAAAATTCATAAGTTTTTCTTTTATATCTTTTTATAAAATCTTTTAAGTTAAAATTGTTGGTATAAGATAACTTATTTGGAACAACGTCAGTAGTCAAAACCTGTTTAACACTATGTAAATACCATATAGATATATTCATTGCCTTTAGTATTTTATGAATTGTACAATATTTACATGTATTTTAACAGGTTGTTTAATGTTACTGATTTTTTTACGCTTTTGAATACTATCAACATCAACTGAAAGAAAGTACCATCATTTTTAGCCAAGGCCATTCTGAATCAATATTCTCATTTTGATTTTGAAATACTCCGTATTACACAAATGGATGTTTCATTTACAAAAAAAACACACAAAAGATAGTTCCAATTACGAAAGGTTCCAATTTTAAAAACATGTATGCTATATATTACAAATTAAAAATAAAGTTCAATACATTACTAAAACATTAGATATAAAGTTCTTCCTCTAACTTCAATTTGTTTTTCATTTTTAATTCATTTTTTTTCACTTAATAAGGACAAAAGCCGAAAAAACATAAAATTTGATATTCTTGCTCAGATCAAGTGAAGAACTTAAAATAGAAAAACCTGCAAAGGATAATAAAGAAATATGCTTAGAATTTTAAAAAAATCGATTTTTTAGCGATTCTCGATTTGAGTGAAAAGCGATTCTCGATTTGTGTGAAAAGCGTCACAATGCTTTTCAATTAGGTAATTTTTGCGCTATATAAATGATTATTCTGGAAAATAGGGTTGAAGGAATTATCTGATAACTTGCATGCTATTTATTTGTCCAAACCTACATCAAATAGTACACAAATATTGGAAAAATATTTCTAGCCCTGTCATGCCAAAAAAAACAACACGGTGGAATCCCTTTAAGTCCCACCAAATTACTGACGCCATGGCTTCCTAACCAGTAGTTTCACTAGTGTGGGTTGAGGAAGCTAGGATGGAATCTTCCTTCTGGCAGGATTCTAGTTTCGACTAACTACTTAGAAACTAAAGCTCAATATATAGAGGATATTAAATGAGTGTAAGTTCAATACTAAATTTATTGCACGAGTTGAATAAAATTATATTATGCGAGCCTCTGGCGAGCATAATATTATTTTATTCAAGGAGTGCAATAAATTCAGTAATGAACTTACACAAATTTAATATTCTATTTATCACATACCAAAAATAAAGACCGTTTAAAGTGAAATAAGAGTCATTTTTCATTGACGCGCCTATAGTATAACGCTAACATTTAGCGCGTCTTTACACTATGTTTGTATAACGCTAATGACGTCACGTCAAAATATATGCACGGCCGTGCAATACCATATTTACGGAGTCGCAAAATCGGCACGGGTGTGTGATAATTTCCAGTATTACATGTATTGCATCTAACACTTTTATTTGTAATGTGTGGTGGATTTTATTTTGTTTAAAAATACGAGTACATTGTGATTTTATTGTATTTTAATGTTTATGAGATTAAGAGAAGTATGTTTGTATTCAGAATTGTCAGCTTTGTCCAAAAAAATTAAACCATGCTTTTAATGAGGAAGGAATATAATTTTGTTATGTTTTTGATCAATAAATTAATAAAATATAGAAATTGTATTGTTCATTTTCTTTTCTAAGATCATATCCATACAAATAACGATCTTTTTTGCATTACAATGTATGTGATATTGATCACAGAGTTACATTATCTCATAATCTATAAAGCTTTTCTTAAATTAAAATAAATGTGTTGTACACTAAACAGCTTGCTTTGGCACGTCAAACAATTTGGACTTTCCAATATATTAAATATTTGCAAGACTTTGGTATAATTTTACTACCGTATCAATTGCATACTGATTATTTCATACTTAGCAGAATGCATATCCAACCTTTGATAGGGACTGTTGTGTCCGTTACATAATACATTGTACATATGAAAATCGGCAGTTCAGTAAAAATTATACTTTACCTACAAAAATTGAAGGAAGTAAATGGGGTCCATGTTCTTACCATAAATATCTTCATATGTTGAATAAGCATTTTCTTTTTTATTCATTCATATTAATGTTTTGTTACTGTGTTGCATTTTCATACTGCGGATTAAAAGGTCATTTTAGATTTAGAAAGTCGTAAAATTTCCAAATCTTAAAATAAAAAAGCTGTTAAATTGCAAGTTTATAGTTTTATATTTATCATTTATACAGCCTGTTTATTGTTAAGTCTAGACATTGTTATGATTTTTATTGTAATAGTTTGGATCTTAGTGGGCAAATATATTTTTCAGTCTTCTGGATATTACATACACAATTATTCTTTAAAGTGGATTGGTCTAGAATGAGCAAATTTTCCACATATATTTCAAATATTGATAAAAGGAATGAAATCCATCGTTTGGATATTATTATGATATTTTTTCTGGAAACAAAATTCTAAAATGATTAAGTATAAAAATCATATGATTAATAAAAAAAGCTCTAGAACACTATATTTTGCTAGGTCACAACTGACCAACAACCTATAATTCTTTCGTGGTTTACGTTCACGTATGATACTATTTCAACATACTTAAGTAATTATAAATGGCATTACAGATCTTCCATTACGGACCAATCCACTTTAAAGCTGGAGCAAGTGCGCATTTGCATGTTTGACTCTTGCTTTAAAAGAGACCAATTTAGTCTGTAAAATCATGCTCCCAATCTGTATGTATCTTGTGTTATTTTCTTTTATTCTATATTTAATTTATCATTGTAATTATTGCAATTGGTATTTGCAAATAAGAGATCTTTTTTGATATGTTTTTAGTTTTTATAGGTACTTTTAGGCAACGCATATAAGTTATTATTCATCAAAGTTATGAAAACATCAGTCTACCCTGTAACTGTAAGTGTTATTAACAGACTAATTGAAAAGTATGCATAGGTAGTTTGTTTGCTAGATTGAAACAGCTTAATTTGTATACTTGAATTTTTTTTATTTGGTAGAACAATTTTATGTTTTCAAGAAAATTGCCACAAATATGTTGACATGTTGCTTTAAGAAATGTGATCTTGGTTTATATTTAAATCTCTACAATTTTGAGTAAGTTGTATGAATTGTCAAGGAAATTTACATTGCATGTGTTAACATTGCCAATGGTTGTGACAGACATTTTGTCCACCATGTACAAAATTCTAAATATCTGGATTCAAATCTGTATTTTATGTTTTTTTGTTTATTTTAGAATTTACATCATGGCAAAATAATTTGATTATGTTTGAAATCAAAATACTGCATTGTGCTTGCATATTTTGCAGGTTTGTAACCTTTGTGTAGATTTCTTCTAAATAGTTCTTAAAACATCTAAGATTTTCAGTGATTGAACACATAATAAATCTTTATGACACCAGTATACTGCAGAGACCGCTACACAACCTTGCGGTCCGGCCAGGCTCTATATTGTCAACTGCGCAAATTTGATTTATACACGTATGTACTTCTTTTTGTTGTTATTGTTTTATACGAAATATGAAATCCGAAATAAGTGGCTTCAAACAGAGCTATATCTGTCTGTACTTGGTGATAAGTTCATCTTAGTTTCATAATTTCTGCCTGTACTCTACTTTTGTATTTACGTATTTCACTGAATGTAAAATGTATGATTTATAAATGACCAAATAAATATTTTACTTGTTTTACACAGCTACACATGCACTTGTTCATTTTATTGACATGTCATGCCGACTTTCAAGATATAATACCAGAACCAAACATGGTATGATTAAACCAAAAATTTATTTTACAAAATGTAAATTTATTACAATCATAAAAGTTTTTAAAAAGAAATGACAGGCGCTGTTTAGTTATCATGAACCTTTTTCTACCCGGCCCTGAAATGAATAAAAAAAGACTGGATAAAATGTACATAATAAAAAGCAAAAGAATTGTAATGCTTGTGCATTGGATATATGAATGATAGTGCTATTCCCTTAATACTGTTGAATTGTTTCTGCGCAAATAGAATAAATGTATAACAAATATTAAGGTCGACTGAAGGAAACTTCAAACTTATTTAAAACCCTATCGAATTTGGTCCCTGAAAATAATCAGTTTTTGTGTATAATAAATACATGATGGTTAATGGTTCTTTTTAAAATGATAGACATTCACTACATTAACATCGCTTCAACTGTATGGACTTTGAACTTACCATGTGTTACATGCAATGTCGTTTCATTTTAATGAATGTCTTTCAAGATTTTGTCAGCAATATATAGTACTTACTCCGCATGTATAATTATATAATGTGTTATTAACTTACCATGCTGTATGAATTCCACTATCGCAGTACACACTCATGATTCCAAAGGATGATCCAAAATCTTCGTCATCGTAAGTAACTTCAACATCTGCTACAAGGAGTTCAGGCTCACCACAATCTGCGAGGTCGTCGGTGTTGTCAATATATCCCACGCAAACGCCATCATTTACATCATTGGTATAATCATCATCTACTACAAGATCGGCATCATCTTGAGCATCATCTTGGTCATCATTTACATCATCGGTTTCATCATCATTTACTGCATCATCGGCATTCTCATCATCGGTATCATCATCTACATCATCGGCATCATCATTTACTGCATCATCGGCATCATCATTTACTGCATCATCGGCATCATCATCATCGGCATCATCATTTATTGCATCATCGGCATCATCATCATCGGCATCATCATTTACTGCATCATCGGCATCATCATTTACTGCATCATCGGCATCATCATTTACTGCATCATCGGCATCATCATCATCGGCATCATCATTTACTGCATCATCGGCATCATCATTTACTGCATCATCGGCATCATCATCATTGGCATCATCATTTACTGCATCATCGGCATCATCATCATCGGCATCATCATTTACTGCATCATCGGCATCATCATTTACCGTATCATCGGCATCATCATTTACTGCATCATCGGCATTATCATCATCGGCATCATCATTTACTGCATCATCGGCATCATCATTTACTGTATCATCGGCATTATCAGCATCGGTGTCATCATTTTTTACAACGCTATCATCACCAGGGTTCCCTGTGTCTAGCATTTCTTCTTCTTTATTTTCTGGCTCATTATTTAACCATACAATTTCTCTTTCCATTCTATAACGTGGTTCACACCCATGCTCCCCACAAGTACAGAAACTTGGATTGAATTTCTTTGTGATTATCTTCATCTTTGGTGGTGTCCCTGGATTTGCTGGTTCTGAAAAAGAAATCAAAACATTCAAACATTTCAATGACAAATTGTTACTTTGAAAACATAATCAATGTTTAAAGGAACTCCAATGAGGTTCAAATGCCTAAAAACATAAAATTTCAAAATCTAATGAATATCAAGTGAAGCTCTTTAAATTGAAATATTTGGTAATGATAACAAAGAAACATTCTCAGAAATAAATTGGAAATCGATATTTGTTTTGAGCAGAAATCGTTGTAACGCTTATTATTATTATTATTTTTCTTTTTTTTTTTAGCTCACCTCTCACAAAGTGACAGGGTGAGCTTTTGTGATCGCTTTTCGTCCGGCGTCCGTCCGTCGTCTGTCCGTCCGTCGTCCGTCCGTAAACTTTTACTTTAAATGACATCTCCTCATAAACCACTAAGCCAATTTCATCCAAACATCACAGGAATGTTCCTTTGGTGGTCACCTTTAAAAATTGTTCAAAGAATTTAATTCCATGCAGAACTCTGGTTGCCATGGCAACCGAAAGAAAAAACTTTAAATATCTTCTTTTAAAAAACCCAAAGAGCTAGAGCTTAGATATTTGGCATGAAACATCTTCTAGTGAGTGTCTACCAAGTTTGTTCAAATAAAAGCCCTGGGGTCAAAATTGGCCCCGCCCCAGGGGGTCATTGATTTTCCCTATATGCATATAGTAAAAACTTAAAAAATCTTCTTTAAAAGAACCCATAGAGCTAGAGCTAAGATATTTAGCATGAAACATCTTCTAATGGGTGTCTACCAAGTTTGTTCAAATAAAAGCCCTGGGGTCAAAATTGGCCCCGCCCCAGGGGGTCATTGATTTTCCCTATATGCATATAGTAAAAACTTAAAAAATCTTCTTTTAAAGAACCCAAAGAGCTAGAGCTAAGATATTTAGCATGAAACATGTTCTAATGGGTGTCTACAAAGTTTGTTCAAATAAAAGCCCTGGGGTCAAAATTGGCCCCGCCCCGGGGGTCATTGATTTTCCTTATATGTGTATGGCAAAAACTTAAAAATCTTCTTTGAAAAAACCCAAATAGCTAGAGTTTAGATATTAAGAATGAAACATCTTCTAGTAAGTGTCTACAAAGTTTGTTCAAATAAAAGCCCTGGGGTTAAAACTGGCCCCGCCCCAGAGGTGTCATTGTTTTTAACTATATGTGTATAGTAAAAACTTAAAAAATCTTCTTTTAAAAAACCCAATGAGCTAGAGGTTAGATTTTAAGCAGGAAACATCTTTTTGTTGGTGTCTACCAAGTTTGTCCAAATAAAAGCCCTTGGGTTTAAATTGGCCCTGCCAAAGGGGAGGGGGGGTCATTGTTTTTCATTATATGTGTGTAGTAAAAACTTAACATCATGAAACATCTTCTAATGGGTGTCTTCCAAGTTTGCTCAAATAAAAGCCCTGGGGTTTAAACTGGCCCCGCTCTGGGCCTATATACAGGTGAGCGACCTCAGGGCCATCATGGCCCTCTTGTTGTATTTTTGCACTATAAAAATGTTCATTCTGGAAAAATGAGAGAAAGAGAAAGCGAATGAGATGAAAATGTGCACACAAATAACTGGTTAAGACGTACATCAATTGGTACAAAAATCCCGAAAAATTACTTCCAGTCCTATCATGTCTTGCTCGTGACATTTATTTTTCAATCGAAATAAGCGACGAAAATATTTTCGATAGTAATGCAGTACAAACATGTATTTTTAAGTAAATAAATAAATAAGATAAAAAACAAGAAAAAAACAAAGAAAAGAAAAACAAAACTCAACAAAATAAGGTAACGTGCTGTTATATAAAAAGTTAACTTACTATAATGGATGTTATACAGCAGGTTCGGTTTATACCAACTGTCCCTCGGATCTTCCATACCCTGTTCCGCTTAATTATTCCGAAACATTGTCTGATAATGGTTGTATTTACATTGATTCAGCTGTTGCTAATGCCGCTCTGGACATGTGACGTAATGACGTTATAATTATTGTAAACGTAACAATACAAGTACGTCATATAATACTGCACGTTTGTAACGTCGTTTTTCATTGGATAATCATGACGTTTATATAGTTTTTATAATACTGCATGTTAGTAACGTCGTTTTTCATTGGATTGTCGGGTATATTTTTAGTTATAAAGATTTTTGACATGTTATATGGCCGTATATAAACTGTTGTTTGAAAATATAACTCGAGCCGCTAAGCGAGGTTTAAATTGCAAACACAAGTTTTTATACGGACATATAACCTGTCAGAAATATTTATAACGGATTTGTAATACAGCAAGCATCTTTTTTAGAGAAAAGGTGAGATTTCTTCATAATTTGACAGCAGTGTATATAGAAATATATAAACGTCACGATTATCCATTGAAAAGTGACGTTACAAACGTGCAGTATTAAAAAAAAAATTTTTATTCTTATAAGCATGCATATATTATCATTGCAATTGGTAATGGAAAATAACAGATGTGTTTCATTTTTATCGGTACTTTTAGGCAACGTCTATAAGGAATTATTCTTTACAGTAATATATTTATTAGCTGTTTGTGTTTACTATTTTTTTTTTGTCCATGGGCCCGGATTTGATCATTTAATCCTTTCGATTTACAGCTAAAAATAAAGGTAAACGGTAAAAGGGACCGAGTAAGAGTACACTTTGCATATTTAGCCCCGCCTATAAATAAAGCACGAATTTCTTATAAAGCGTTATCATCATGATTAAAATAGACTATAAATCTGTGGAAATTATCAGTGTTACTGTATGTAAGTGCATATGCTTAATCCTCCTAATAAATTTATGCATATGTCTAGAAAATGGAAACAGGCTTTAAACGTCAGGACATACAACTGTAGAATAATGGTTTTTCATTCATATGCCTAATAATTTAATCAGCAGATGAACCTATGTTAGGATATCAAGTAAGATTATTATAGGACCATCTGAATGCACTTGTACACAATGTATACTTATGTTCATTAAAGATATATGAGTAATCACATTATAACAGGACCAAGAGATCATCTGCATGAACATATACTAGTTTTTATAGAAGATGCATGAGAGGTTAATGTAAGATGAGCAGGGAATCATCTAGATGTAAATATACATTAGTAGTGATGGAATATATATAAGAAAGGGTCATCTGGTCTTTAAGGTGTATAAACACTGTAGTTCTTAAAGAACATATGTGAGGGAAATACATATAAACATTTTTATTATGGAACAGATATAAGGGTAACTCGTAAGATGCCCAGGGGATTATCTAGATGTACATATACTATAGTTTTCATGGAACAGAAATAAGGGGATCACGTAAGATTACAAGATCATCTGGATGTACATAAACTTTTTTTCATTACATATCAGATGTAAGGGGATCAAATAAAATGACCAAGGGATCATCTAGATGTACATATACTATAGTTTTCATTGAACAGAAATAAGGGGATCACGTAAGATGACCAGGTGACATTTAGATGTATATACTCTTTTTCATTCTGGAACATATATGAGGGGATCAAATAAATGACAAGGGGATCATCTATATGTACATAAACTCTTTTTTTATTATGGAACAGATGTAAGGAGATCATGTAAGAATACAAGGGGAATATCTAGATGTACATATACTATAGTATTCATTGAAAATAAATAAAGGTATCACGTAAGATGATAAGGGGATCACGTAGATGACAAGGGGATCATGTAGATGTACATTTAATATAGTTTTAATTGAACAGAAAGAAATAAGGGGCTCACTTACGATGACCAGGAGATCATATAGATGTACATACTCTTTTTCATTTTGGAACAGCTATGAGGGTATTTCGTAAAATGACAAGGGGATCATGTAGATGTACATATGCTATAGTATTCATTGAAAAGAAATAAAGGGATCACGTAAGATGACAATGGTATCATCTAGATGTACATATACTATAGTATTCATTGAACAGAAATAAGGGGATCACGTAAGATGACAATAGTATCATCTAAATGTACATATACTATGGTATTCATTGAACAGAAATAAGGGGATCACGTAAGGTGACAAGGGGAGCATCTAGATGTACATATACTATAGTATTCATTGAAAAGAAATAAGGGGATCACGTAAGGTGACAAGGGGATCATCTACATGTACATATACTACCAGGAGATCATATAGATGTACATACTCTTTTTCATTTTGGAACAGCTATGAGGGTATCGCGTAAAATGACAAGGGGATCATGTAGATGTACATATACTATAGACTTCATTGAACAGAAATAAAGGGATCACGTAAGATGACAATGGTATCATCTAGATGTACATATACTATAGTATTCATTGAAAAGAAATAAGGGGATCACGTAAGGTGACAAGGGGATCATCTACATGTACATATACTACCAGGAGATCATATAGATGTACATACTCTTTTTCATTCTGGAACAGATATGAGGGGATCGCGTAAAATGACAAGGGGATCATGTAGATGTACATATTCTATTTTTTATTATGGAACAGATACATTTAATAAAGGGATCACGTTAGATGACAAGGGTATCATCTTGATGTACATATACTATAGTATTCATTAAGTTTTATTGACTGATATAAGTCATATTTGGTATTTAGATTTATACAATGGGCGTTCCTGTATTTGTGGTGTTAAGACACTAATGAAAATGATATTTTAACTGTCCTTGTACAGCCTCCATTTGTTGGTAAATGTGTGGTGCAAATATGCAGCTTTTGGGAGCATAATTTGCCCTCAATGATATTTTTTGAAACTCATGTTAGTAAGAAATTATATCAAACTCATGATTAATATGTTGTATTTTACTTGTTTCTTAGGTGAGTGTACCAGGGCAACATGATGCTCTTGTTTAATCAGTACTCTCCTTTAATTCATAAGTCACATAAACTATGCATCTTCAGGCAACACTTCCAAAGTGTAAAGAATTGTCAACATTAAAATCTCTAATCTTTTTGATAGTGTTATAACAATGCTA